GTGTTTCTTGGATAAAGGCAATGCTAGTATTTAAATGTTTTAAGTAGCTAAGAACTTTATTTCGCTTCACCGGGGAGTTAAGCCCCTTAACATTCCAACTAGTGAATTTTAGTACACCACGCGTTGCTACCTTGTTACTCATGAGAGACATTAATAACAAATACTATAAGCGTGATCGAGTCTATGAGAACCCACCCCCAAGTATGCACAGCCAACATAGCAGGTGGCTAGAAGCATTATGAGGATACAAAATGCAGTAAAAGTGATTGCACTCAAAAATACAAAAAGAAAAAAAAAGCACAACAAAAACAAAACAACAGTAACAAAGGGAAAAAAAGAAAGAAAGGGAAAAAAAGATAAACCCACTCTTAAACCCACCCTTTCCCCAGCTGACAACAAGAACTGCAGCTGAACCCACTTTACCATAACAGGCAAGTTTCCTAACTCCTAGTCCTCCCAAACATAATAGTTACATCAGTAATATTAAATTTCGATTTTCATTCAATGCTTACTGGCAAACTTAGACTGCAAAACAAATTGGTGGAAGAGAAAAAAGAAAGGCGAAGCAATCGCACACAAAATACAAAAGGGCAGTAACACTATGCCTCACAAAATAAGCACAAATCTAAGTAGATTGGATTTTAACATAACATAAAATAGTCTGCAGTAAGTTTTTAACTAAGAAACATCAACATAGCTTTATCAAATTTAACAATGTCCAATATAAAAACCGCTGGGCCAACCTCCCAGGCTGTTCTTTAAGTAATAAAAAAAAGGTCAAAAAGTAAATTCTGCTTGCAGTATAAAAAAGCCTGACTGAGCTCATTGTGAATCTAAACCAAAATCCAAGCACTAGTCATCCCTTATTTAGATCGATATAAAAAAAAACAAAGCAGCATAATATGCAATGTAAAAAAAAGGGGGAAATAAACTGCAAGCCTACAATTCAGCCTACTATAAATAAAATGAGCTTTTAAGTTCAAGCACGGAAAAGTCTTTATACTGAGCAGGTTTATATCTCAAATCCACAGGTACATCCTATAGCATCCTTGGAGAGGGAGGCGGCCAGAAAGACATTAATGACTGTACATAGTAGAGTCTAATTCAACTCGTTTGCTACTAGCTCGAACTCTGGATGAAACTGTTGGCTTCCGAAACCGAAGCAAGCCATTTCTTCTCACCGTTTGGAAGTGTTATTCGAAGTCTAGCAGGGTAGAGAAGCGCAGGCTTGAGTCCTCGTTTGTAGAGTGATGACATCACGTCTTTGTACTCGGCGCGAAGTTTCACAACATCAGGGCAATAATCCTCAAAGATACGAATCTTGTGGCCATCATACAGCAGCTCACCCTTTTTGCGAGATTCACGGACGACCAAATCCTTCGTTTGAAAGCGATGAAATCGCAGGATGACAGGTCGCGGTCTCTGGCCTGGTGCAGGTTTAGGCGCGAGGCTGCGGTGAGCTCTGTCCAGCTCGGGCGGCGAGGTTAACACCTGGGAGCCAAGGACATCGACCAGAAGCTGAGAGAAAAAAGCCGTCGGTCGCGGCCCCTCGACTGATTCGGGTAAGCCGACTATTCGAATGTTTTGGCGCCGGCTGCGACTTTCAAGATCGGAAACTTTAGCTTTTAGCCACTCGTTGTCCTTCTGGAGCCGCAAACACGTAGCGTTGAGTTGATCGAGTTGCTGACTAAACTCTGTAGCACCGGACTCGAGGTTTCCGATGCGAAGGTCATGATCAGCCACCGTGGATTGAATATTGTCAAGCTTGGTTGCCAAACTTTCAAAAGATGTTTTAAAATCCTCTGCGATCGAGGCTCTAAGGTCATCATGTAGCGCGCGAATCTCGGCCAACGTGACGTTAGCATTCGGCGAAGGAGAACCTTCTTTATCGATCTGTCTGCCCCTTCCTTTTGACATTTCAAAGATAAAATATGTCGCAGAACAGAAAATAAACGAATACTGCCAGAAACGAACAAAATCACTGATGTTAATAGACAAAACTGAAAAGTTTTTTGGGAGCTGACCACGCGCACGTCTACTCCTCAGGCGCCATAACCGGAACTCATTGTCAGTCATTTTGACGGAGAGGATTGTAAAAATTCCGTCATAACCTATTATTGACCATCAATTAATTAGCATATTTTCTAATCGCTTTTTTCCATTCGTATTGTAATAATGAACTTGCACGTCGAGCACAAAGGCTAAATTATTCATTTATTTATTTAACAAATAAACAATAACTCCTATTTGCCTTGCCTCATATCTTCCTCCTGTGTCGACCTGAACTGGGTGCTTGCCTGTGCGTAATCAAGCGCAACAAGAGAGACTTATGCAGAGGCAGTTGTCATTCAATTCTGTGTCTTTGCCTCGGAAAGTCGACTTCTGACAGTTTTAAATTTGTTCTGGAGGCTGAAGCCGCGTTCTGCTGCCACACTGGAGAGTCCTTGCCATAAGCAGCCTGGACTCTGCTGACAGACTCGGGCCAGATATGGTTAACAGGAATCGGGCCAGTGCTTTACAGCCGCATCACAAACGCATGTGCGGGAGCGAGCTGCGGGCCATACTCGGCCCAGATAACACTCGCCGATGCTGAGTCGGAGCCGGAGGCACTGAAGGGAAGCCAAGCTCGGGCAGATTACTACCTGCTATCTGCGTAGCACAACTTCAGCCAGCTTTTTGTAGTTAGGAAACATTTCTCCTAAGGAAGTGATCAGAAGTTTGCTAGATTCTCTGAATGTGGGATTTTCCGCGTTTCATTGGGATAAAATACTGCAGCACGCGCTCCTTCAGCACCAGGGCCGCGGCTTCACCTCTATGCGTTGGGTAGTGCATGGTGCTCACAAGCACTCCAAACCACCTGACCTCCTTGTTGCCGCTTGGTTGGCCCGTATTAACAGCTTTCAGCGACTGAGGATTTGTGTCTGCTTGTTCTTCATCGTCCACTGCATCACTTCCTCTTTTTTTCCACCTTTATTATTAATATCACAGCTGTTTGGCCGTTTAAAGAAACTTCTCACACTCAGCTGCTGTGAGATTTTTGCAACTGTACGCAGCGTTGACAAAGAGGAGACAAAACAAGGGCAATCGCCATCAGCTGGACAGGAGTGGGAATTACAGCTAGCTACAAATTACAGTAGATCACCCTCAGCATAATCCGTCAAAATGACGGATCACATTCAGATTTTTCCGTCACTGCTGAAAAAAATCCGTCAATGATGGAAAATATTCGGTTAACGGAACCTCCGAATTGTAAATACAATTGCGATGTCCGTCTCTTCACGTAGTGTTCTCTGTGTGGGGGAAAAATGCAACTCGCAGTTTCAGCTTTGCCTTTTTCTTTCTATTGCAATCATCGCAATTCAAGCTACATTATGGCCCATTTCCACCCCTTAGCCCTTTCCCTTACCCCTCGTTTTGTGCGTTCACGTGAAGGGGATTGGGGTGTCTCAATTATTTTTAGCTTGAAGGCATAGGGCTAAGGGGAAGTGCTAGATACCCCATTGAACAGATTTTTCAGTACCACACTCGAAACCAAGGGGTAAGAAAATATCCCAGAATACACCAGCCACAACGGCAGCGTAGCTGCACCCGAAAGCCAGGAGATCCTCAAATTAGTGTTTTTTTTTTTTGTCATTATTATGAATTTTTACAACAAACATTGTTTTAATTATAGGTGGGCATAGATTACTTTTTAAATCTAGATCAGGGGTCACCAATCTCGTTTCTGGAGGTCCGGTGCCCTGCAGGGTTTAGCTCCAACTTGCCTCAACACCTGCTTGGGTGTTTCAAGTATACCTAGTAAGAGCTTGATCAGGTGTTTGATTAGAGTTGGAGTCAAAATCTGCAGGACACCAGACCTGCAGGAACAAGTTTGGTGATCCCTGATCTAGATTAATCTCACTGTAATCTTGGAAATAATCTAGATTAAAAAATGCTCATTTGAATTCTGTCGAAGGCATCCAGAACATGTGTGCCACCCAAATAACAAGTCTTTGAGAGCGGGTTTCTCAAGCCAGGTGGCGCATTAGACCAGGGGCTCATCTCCCGTTTACAAAATGCATCACAAGCTGCTTGAGAAACTGTTCTACTGTGATAATTGGTTATGAAAATAAGTGATGGTCAATAAGATGTAATTGTTAACTCACTGTTTATTCAGGTAAACATGAATGTTTTAATACATTCATAACTGTGTTCGTGCTTTACCGTCATCCTTTAAAAAAAAAAACCTCAAATTAAAACCGCTAAATTTAGCTATCAATAATAATAACTCCTGTACAGCAGTCCCACAACATTCTGACACTCGATGACACTGGACTACCCTGTCAGAAATGTCTAGTGGCTGGGAATGAGCTTTTTACAGCGTCTGCTATAATGTTCATGTTGTTTTTAGTGTGTTTACATTGATGAATATAGCCACTGTGTAAATACACAGTAGTTTCAGGGGCCAAGGGGAAGGTGTAAAAATAGAATTGGGATTGGGACATTGAGTGTCATGCCCAAAAACAATCTCTAACTACAGAGGGTAGATACTGTGGGTGCTAGAGGCTAATTTCTATTATTCTTATGAGTCTTGTGAAAACTCAAGCCAACATTTGCTAAATATTTTCGCACAGACCGCAAGATACTTTCTGAAGACATTTTTAGAGATATAAAAATAAACATAAACTACAGAGATTGGCACACATTTTTTGATATGGCATAATTTATATGTGCTTTTTTTTTTTTACCTATTTACCACATGTAAATGAAACATTAAGTCATGAATATTTACCTAAAAGTTTTGGAAAAGTCCTGTAATTTTATTAGTAAAAATGTGTCTGAGCCGTGGATGTAATGCATGCTGCATTATGCCACTGATCCACCTCAGACATTCAATCTGACTTGCGCTTTTTTTTTTGCACTTTCATTTACCTGGAAAGTTTCTGGATATTACCGGTATTACTGTGTGAAAGGGGCTACAGTGCTGTGTGTGTCTGACTGTGCTGGTTTGGTGTGAACAGGGGATTCGTACGGTCCATCTCCTGTGAGCGGCGGGGCTCCGTCTCCTCCTTTGATGATCGAGGGTCCAGGACGGCCCCCATCAGCACCTGTAGGGCGACGCGGTGAGCCGTTCGGTGAGATCCACCTCTTCTCCAGATTCACCTGCACTCGAGCTCTTCCTTTTCCAGCCCAGTTTTTGTGTCATTCTCTGTGTTTAGGTTGACATTTTTACCCTCCTCTTTGCATTTCCAGCTCTGTTTTTGAAGTCATTCTACGTTTTTATCCTCCTCTTGTCTTTTCTAGATTTGTTCTGAGTCATTCTGTGTTTTCAGATTGTTATTTCCCCCCTGTTTCTCTTCTTATGGGATCCTCATTGTGTTGTTTTTTCCTCCTCAGAGTCTTCAATGTGTGAAATGTTTGATTGTTTTCTCTTAGTAACCTTTGGTGTATTTCAGGTCCACGACCCCCGTCTGATCCTCACGGACGCTTCTCTGAGCTTGGACACCCGCTGCCATCCAGACCAGGTGCTTTGCATGCCACTTCATGCTAGATTTAATAGGCCCGTCACCATATCTACTTTTTGTCGTATGATAAATTGCACCAAAATATATTGTGATAAACGGTATTATTGTCAATGCCAGAAAGACAATGTAATAGCTTCACAATGCAAGTGCATGCTACCAAAGAACACATCATATTTGATTCTTAGGAATATTTCATTTAATTGAATGTGAATCAGAATATGAAAACGCATATCTTAAATAAATAATAAATGTAAAGGGCACATAGGTTACCCCTTTTTTCATATTTATTATAAGTCTTTTGTGTCCCCAGAATGTGTCTGTAAAGTTTCGGCTCAAAACACCCATCAGAGTATTTATTAAAGCTGTTGGAAGTGTCTTTATTATAGCTGGGAAAAGGTTGTTGCTGTTTTTTGCACTGGGCCTTTAAGGCGAGTCATCCCCGCCCACCGTTCCCACATGCCTGTCAGCAACATGCCTCAATCGCCACCCACGGCTGCCCCAGGAAGCAGATCTTACGTAACGTTTGTGAGAAATACTACAGAAAAACGTTACCAATCAATATTTGATGCAATTTTTGTGCAGTTGCAACAATGAGTTCACGCACACGCAGCGCAGACACACACACATAGCACAGACACGTAGCGCAGACACACGCACATACATAGCGTAGACAGGCAGACACACTCACACATACACGCATAGCACAGACACGTAGCGCAGACACACACACACATAGCGCAGACAGACACACACACACATAGCACAGACACGTAGCGCAAACACGTGCACATACATAGCGTAGACACGCAGACACACTCACACAGCACAGACACGTAGCGCAAAAACGCGCACATACATAGTGTAGACACGCAGACACACTCTCACACACGCACACACACATAGCACAGACACGTAGCGCTCACACACTCACATACACAGCACAGACACGTAGCGCAAACACGCGCACATACATAGTGTAGACAGGCAGACACACTCACACATAGCACAGACACGTAGCGCAAACACACGCACATACATTGCGTAGACAGGCAGACACACTCACACACAGCACAGACACGTAGCGCAAACACGCGCACATACATAGTGTAGACAGGCAGACACACTCACACACAGCACAGACACGTAGCGCAAACACGTGCACATACATAGTGTAGACAGGCAGACACACTCACACACACAGCGCAAACACGTGCACATACATAGCGTAGACACGCAGACACACTCACACACATAGCACAGACACGTAGCGCAAACACGCGCACATACATGGCGTAGACACGCAGACACACACACGCATAGCACAGACACGTAGCGCAAACACGCGCACATACATAGCGTAGACACGTAGACACACACACACACAGCACAGACACGTAGCGCTGACACACACACATACATAGCGTAGACAGGCAGACACACTCACACACACAGCACAGACACGTAGCACAAACACACGCACATACATAGTGTAGACAGGCAGACACACTCACACACACAGCGCAAACACGCGCACATACATAGCGTAGACACGCAGACACACTCACACACATAGCACAGACACGTAGCGCAAACACGCGCACATACATAGCGTAGACACACACACACACACGTAGCGCTGACACACACACATACATAGCGTAGACAGGCAGACACACTCACACACACAGCACAGACACGTAGCGCAAACACACGCACATACATAGCGTAGACAGGCAGACACAGTCACACATAGCAGACACGTAGTGCAAACACACGCACATACATAGCGTATACAGGCAGACACACTCGCACACACACAGCACAGACACATAGCGCAAACACACGCACATACATAGCTTAGACACACAGACACACTCACACACACATAGCACAGACACGCAGCGCAGACAACCACACACACATACATAGCGTAGACAGTCAGACATACAGACACACACATACATAGCGAAGACACACACACACAGAGAGACAGTGAAAGAGACTTGCGGCTGTGCTGATGAAGTGAATCTGAAGTGAATGGCTGTACTTCATTACACACGTGCACACATTTTAAAACATGTTAAACTTGTAAAACTCACTCTTGATCACGTCTGATGATGATTGATGATCCTAGCGAACTGAACAGACCTTTTATTCCCGGTTGCTTTGTGCTCATCCTGTCTTGTCTATACGAGTTTATGCATTACTACAGAGACATGTTAATGCGCGCAGCTGTCAATCAATATTGATGGGCGGGGGGACCGCACTCCTACGTAAAGTTGCTGTCGATCTGAAAACCGCTCGAATTGGTCCACCGTTTTTATGTTGTTAAATTTAAAGAAAAAGGACTGGGTGTGTTTATTTCACCCCAATATGACAGAATATACACTATACTTACACACAGATCTGTCCAAACAGCTTGAAAAGTAGATTTTTCACCATAGGTGCCCTTTAAAACCAAAGTTCAAGGAAAAGAGTAACAGAGGCTGTGATATCTGCTAAAAGATCTATTTTCAGCTGTCAGACACGCACACATGAGAATATACTATATAGTAATCATCAATACAGTGTTTTCAACCATTCTGACACTGGCAGCTTTAATAGAGATAGAGATGTTGCGCAATCGGCTGAAATGTTGCTAGAATTGTTGTTTATGTATGGGCGATGTATATTGCAATAGCAAAAACGATTGAGCTCATGTCAGTGTTGTGAAATAATTCCATATATTAATTATTGTGACAGGCCTAACATTTAATGATACATAAAACAGTTTAAAGGGAAGCTGCAGAGTTTCTGTTTGTTTTACTTTTTCAGATATAGCATTGCATTCTCTTGTTCAGATTTGCATCTACATCCACAGATGTCTGATTGTCCTATTGTCTGTTTTACAGAAATGTTTCAGCCGATGACATCATCTCCATGTGCTCATGATGGGCCGATGGTAAGGACTGCGGATATCATGTTGTTTTTTTTCCAAAATATCATATATTTAAATATTTCCCAAGTGCTGTTTAACTTAGAGCAGATTTTTTTCAACACATTTCTGAACATAACAGCTTTAATAACTCATTTCTAATCACTGATTTATTTTATCTTTGTCATGATGACTGTAAATAATATTAGACTAGATAATCTTCAAGACACTTCTGTACAGCTTAAAGTGACATTTAAAGGCGTAACTAGGTTAATTAGGGTTACTAGGCAGGTTAGAGTAATTAGGCAAGTTAATAGCCGCGTTTCCACTATCGCGCCTAAAGCGAGAGAGCCAGGGCAAGCCAAGGCCAGTGGCGTTTCCACTGTCACTTCCGGGGCCTAATCGGGCCAAAGCGGGGCTTTCTTGGGGCCAGCGACCGGCCTTTTTCGGCCCGCCGAATACCTTGGGCCAAGGAGGGCCAGCTGGGGCTTCGGGGCGGAGTGAAAGGAGAGGCGGGCAGTTTTCTGATCGCACATGAGTACATGCGCCAAACATAAATAAATAAGGGAAAGAAAACATCTGGCCTTATAGTCTGGGGTCTTTTTGTGTATGATCACCCTTATGTTTCCCTTTTAAATGTAAGGCGGCTGCATAAAATAATAAAGTAGTTTTAATTTATAGTGATGTTCTTTGCTGCGTCCTCCTTTATGTTTCAATAACGCATAATAATCTTTACACCATATTAAACACACAGCAGACAGTAAAGGATTTCAAGAGTTTTTGTCAAGTTTAAAATGTTTGTTTGTGCGCGTTTAAATGCCTGTATGTGTGTGTGAGACCGGGCAAGAGCGCTCCTTCACAGCTGTGTTATGCCACGAGCGGCTTTTTTCTCTTTATTTTGGAGATAATACACAATATAAATACAACAGAAAGACATAAAACTTATCAAATTACCTGCCCACTTTCGTAGACTTTAAACAATATAGTGTCATATCGTGATAAAATAGCCTGAGCTATATTGAAATATAATTTAAAGAATTACAAATATCGGATATATATATAATCACATTAAATAAATAAACCAATATAAAATAAACAAAAGCTAGCTATATGTTGATAGCCTATATACAATACATAAATCAAACCGTTTTAACGCCACATATAGCCTAACTTTCATTTTACAAAGACCTGTCTGAAAAAAAAGATTTTAGATATTTTCTTAAAACAATAAACACCGGAGATGGTTTGAAATATTATTTATAAAGTATTTGGATGTGATGATATTAATCAAATCACGCAAACAGAGCATTATTTAGGTGAGTGAAAGCAGAATCTAGTCTACCTTTTTTCTGTCACCCAGTCCTGCGCTGCTTTAAACGCATCGGGGGAAAGTCCAAACACAAAATGTGTTCTGTATCCTCAAACAAGTGTTTATGTTTTTATATGACATGGTCTTATTTATAAATGAGACTCTAAATGAAGAGCTTTAGTGAATAGCTGCTGAGCGCAACAAATATGGCTATATTTTATTAGGCTACTCGCTCTTCTTGTGCCGGAAACACTTAACACGACGTCTATCAAAACGAGGATGTTATAAAATACATGCCATATCGAGTTATAACGGAGAATTTCTGTGGCTTTATATTATGGATGTGTGCGCTCTCTGTGTTGGGTCCCTGCGTTAGTGGCGAGAGCAATGCACAATGCCAACAGTCTGTCGGAGAGTAAACAAATGTAATGAATGGAAATACACAGGTCTGTGCGTGTAGACATTTCATGTACTGCTGTACAGTAACGTGTCGTTTGTTTGTTTCGGTTGTCTTCATTTTAATGGTTTCGTTTCGTGATGATTCTATGGTGTGCTTTATCTGCCTAAATCTCGCTGAAGTGGGCAGGTTGTGTGACGTTTGATTCGGGGACGTTCTGTGGGCGGTGTTTGCGTGACGCGCTGCAAGCTACTAGCCCGACAGTGGAAATGCGACATGATTTTGGCCTCATTTCTCAACCTCCCGGGCTATTGGCCAGGCCCGATTAAAGCCCTGGCTCGCACTGGCCCGATAGTGGAAATGCGGCTATTGTATAATGATGGTTTGTTCTGTAGACTATCGAAAACAAATAGATTTAAGCTAATAATATTGACCTTAAAATGGCTTTTGACAGCAAATAATATTAGACTAGATATTCTTCAAGACACTTCTTTACAGCTTAAAGTGACATTTAAAGGCGTAACTAGGTTAATTAGGTTAAGTTAATAATAATAATAATAATAATACATTTTATTTGTTATGTGCTTTTTCCCCAAAGCACTACAGTAATAATGAGATGCATTAAAAACTGTTAAAAATTCACCATTAAATAAAAAAAAACAAGCTTAAATAAATGTGTCTTGGGGTGCTTTCAGACTTGTTTCAATTGCCTGCACCATACCCAAGTTTGATTGTCTCCCTTTGCCACCTTCTCGGTTGGTTTGTGTCCACACCGTCTTTTTTCCTTCTGAACCCCGGTGTGCTTACATCATCGAGCTGCTGTTGTGTGTGCGGCTGTTTCCAGGTGACGGCTACGAAAGCAAAGTGTCTAAATGGAAAGACGTGCACACATCGCGGTCTTTCTGCTTGTAATCTTTTGGTTTTGGACATACAGAAAGCGACTCGCATCCATCTGCCGCAAAAAATATTATAAACATTCAGAACATAATGTGAAGGTCTGCAGAAGCTGTTTTTGAAGGAGACAAGCAGACATTATCACTGTGATTGCCCCTGTCTCAGTCCTGCTTGTCACCAAGGAACAATACGTGATGCACAGACACACACACACACACACACATGAACGTTATGAAAGGGAAAATGTTTGTTGTACAGTTGGCGGTAGGCTTGGGCGGTATCCAAATTTTGATGCAGTCAAACCTCCTCCCTATTTTACCCCGGTATCCGGTATTATCGTGCGTAATAAAAAAATATGGCGTAAGGCTCAGCCAGCGTCACCAAACTGTTGGCTTGTGTCTAAACCATTCAGAAACTGAATACCGTATATGCGACCTTCGCGGTAACCTGTTTTCTTGTTTGAATTAGAGATCTGCGCAGGGCGCTCTCTCATACACACGCACACACACACACACACACAGAGAGAGAGAGAGAGAGAGAGAGACAGCACCAAGCGACACACAGGACTACGCTCTCTCTCTTTCTCTCTCTCTCTCTCTCTCATTCACACACACACACACACACACACAAACAAACAAATAATACAACTCTCACATGGTCGTCCACTGAAGCTAAGCAGGGCTGAGCCTGGTCAGTACCTGGACGGGAGACCACATAGGAAAGCTTGGTTGCGGCCGGAAGTGGCGTTACTGAGACCAGCAGAGGGCGCTCAACCTGCAGACTTTGTGGGTCCTTATGCCCCAGTATAATGCTCTGTGAGCGCCGTCTTTCAGATGAGACGTTAAACCGATGTCCTGTCTCTCTGTGGTCATGAAAAATCCCAAGGATGTCCTTCAAAAAAAAAAAAAAAAGAGTAGGAGTTTCACCCCGGCATCCTGGCTAAATCTGCCTACTGGCCTCTGTCCATCATGGCCTCCTAACCCTCCTCATATCATAATTGGCTTCATCACTTTGTCTCCTCTCCACCAATCAGCTGGTGTGATGTGTGGTCTGGCACAATATGGCTGCCGTCATGTCATCCAGGTGGATGCTGCACACTGGTGGTGGAAGAGATTTCCCCCCAAAAAAGCACTTTGAGTGTCTAAAAAAGCGCTATATAAATGTAAGGGGATTATTATTGATTTTTACCGTTTTGTAGCACTTTTCACTACATTTTGCGACATGTCGCGTGCACACACACTTTTCAGGAGTTTGATGACAAACAAATGCGAATGGCTTTAAGCAGGAGAGCATATTTTTGGTGCGAGCGGGAGACAATGACTGTTGAGAATTCTAGAAGAAATGGACATTATCAAGTGCCTCAGAGTTTGTCGCGGGGGCATGAAAGAAATGTCAGAGGTGGCCTGTTGCCATATTATTTATTTAATATAAATATAAATGGAGAATTTATACAGTGAGAAATTAACTGCAGTTGAATTTGTCACTAAATTAAACTCAAAACACCCAAAAATGACATATGGTGCAATCATGACAAACATCAACTGATGCTGCGTGAAATGCTAGAGGAAACTAGCATCGAATGGTGACGTTAATCGAAGTATGTGCTATAGCATGTAAAACAGGAACATTCAATATGCAACTGAAGTAAACCTTCATCATTTTATTGACTTACTCAGATTAAGGCAAATAATTCAATTACTGATGTCCATGTAAATGTAGTCAGAGATTTGTTCTGTTGCCAATTGAAAACAAATAATACTTTCATAGGGTATGTATTAACACTATATTTCTTTCTTTATTCAACTAAAAGAAATAAGTCTCTCCTGAATAATAATAATAATAATATAACTGGAAATACTGTGCAAAATCATCACTTGGGAAATATTTAAATTCAAAATACACAGGAGGGCGAAGGATTTTCTGGTAAACAGTGTATGATATAATGTCACGGTTTCATGCACGATGCATATGAATGTGTCGAGGAGATCTGCATTAAACGGCGGTGGTGTGTTTGCTTTAAAGCAGACGGCACCAGTCGTGGAGCCAGCCGAGTCCTCAGATCAGGCCTCATCTGAGCCTGTAGAGTCTGTGAGTAACGCGGGTTGGTGCAAGGGCTGATGGGAAGGGTTTGAGCACTGTGTCCAGCTGCTGAGGGCACACTTGGCTTTTTGGCTGCTGTTTTTGTTGATCAAGACTTGTTTCTCTTCACTCTCTAATCAGTGTGTGGGTCTTAATTGCATTTTTTTTAACCTAACTCGTGTTTGAGGGAGTTACAGCATGTCTAAGGCTTGAAATGTACTGTACACAAGTGCTTGAATGCAGAATTGCATGAGTTTAACATTGTAGTGTGCAGAATTTATTTATAATTTCTAATTTTTACAGTATTTCTCTGTTCTTTCATCAAAATAAAAGCCAAAATAATTTAATGAAAGCATTTCAGACCGATTTTATTATTATTAATAGAGTAAACAGAATAAAACTATTATTGCTATCATGTTTATTTGTTTTTGACTTGGTAAATTATTGTACATGTGTACGTGTAGAATTGGATAGATTCTCTTTTTTTAAGTCAGGTAAATTATCACTTAATTATTAATATATATATAATTAATCAACAATTATAACTTGATTTGATTTGATTTTTTTTATTTTCGAACAAAAATATGATGCATAAAATATCATTAACCAAAAAAAAAAAAACATTTCAACATGGTCGAAAATGGAGCGGGAGGAGGCTTAAGCTTATTATTCTCCCACCCCATTACCCCATACATCTTTCGTCTATTATTTAAACTTATTTATTTTTTTACTTATCTCTTCTTTTTACATGAAACATATTTTATCCTTTTGGCATCTTTGACAAATAATATGTTTGATTCCATTTGTACCTTTTCATTTTGTAACATAGACCCAAAGAAGAAAAAAAAGAAAAAAATACATAGTACTGCAAATTGAAAAAAGAAAAAAAATACAACAACACCAACACAGTACTGCAAATAGCCATTAATTAAAATGTCATCATACCTTTCTCTTTTTATCCTTTTCAATCACCTTCATCATTATATTCCTTTATTAATATATATTTATACAGTTTTTTAATTGATTATTATACTGACGTTGTTGTAGAGTCTGATCTAGACTGTTCCATATAGTTTGACACCACATACAGACATACACAAACTTTTTAAAGTTGTTCTTGTTTTTAGCCTCCTAAAATTGAGTTCTTCCCTCAGATAATACCCCCCTGTCGTTCTTCAAAAAACTTTTGTAAACATTTCGGGAGTATTTTTTTTCCTAGCTTTAAACATGTATTGTGCTGTTTTAAACTTAACCAAATCATTGAACTTAAGTATTTTTAATAAAAATAAAGCATTTGTATGCTCCAATTTCTGCATTGTACATATGGATCATAAATTAGATTTATATGTATTCCCCCAAACTTAATGAAAGATGAGGCTTTGAAAGTATTGAAGACCAATACTGCTATTCCAACTTGTAGTAAAACATGTAATAAAATTTTTGTTTTTCTGCACAATTGCAGTTTACAACAAATAATGATCTGTTTATCATGTATTTATAATATTTAATCGACATTTATTGTAATTAATTAATTGGGACATTTAAAACAAATATTAGTATTGCAAAATGATGTATATCATATATTATGTATAAATATACAAATATATTAAAATCATTTCAATATAAAGCATATTTATTATCATTTTAATGTAATGTCATGTCGTTTTCCCTTTTTTTATTATTAGATAATTTAACGAAATATTTTATAGTAAAGTATTATCATAAAAAAGTTAGCTATTATAATTATTTACAATTTTATTGGGTTCTAATATGTTGTCTGTGTTCAGCTAACACAGTGTTTGTGAATCCCACTGGATCAGCCTTTAGTGCCTGCTTCTGTGCTAGTGTATAAAGTGTGTTTCGGGCCTTACAGTGGTTTACTTAACTCTGCTTGGGTTTGGTTTACAGGAGTCCAGCATTTAAGGGTCACAGTTCACCTGAACATTTACACTTCCTCAACATTTACTCTCACTCTGGTGGTGTTAAACTTCTAGCAATTGGTTTCTTCTGTTGAACACAAAACCAGATATTTTGGAGAAAGTTGGAGAAAAGAAGCCATTGACATGTATAGTGGGAACGAGTAATACTATGGATGCTAGCTATATTTTCAGCCATCTATTTTTTTGCGCATTTTTGGGCTATCGTATTAAAAACATTTAAAGATGCTGTGTTTTTGTCTCTTCTAAAGAATAAACAACATTATGTTTGCAGATATTTCAGAAACATGCTCAGAACATTCTTGTTTATCTGAGAAACAATGCTGAAGTCAGATTTTCTGCTTTGAACATGTGCGTTATGTGCTGGAATGGCTGTAATTTGGTTCTTTTAACCCGCCCACCGCCAGTTTAGCCAATTATATTTCAGCACCCGGGGAGGCCTTGGTGTAATTCCTTCAGTCATGAAGACTCTCAAGGCATGCGTCCGTGACTGAAATGGGACCTCCGGTGGACAGTAGCAGACTCTGAAATGAGATGCAGATTCAGAGTTCCACATGAGGTTATTAATTAACAAATTATTTAAATATTAGGAGCGTAAACATTAGGTGAGCAGGTTACATTGTAACCCCCAATCCTAACAACACGCTACATGACTAGATTTGCAGTGATAAGTAATCAGGCTGTTAGCACCAGACGAAACACGAAATGTAAATACAGCCAATCAGAAGCACAGAATAGTGCACTCACTGCACTCCAGCCAAATGGTAACGTTTAATCTAATGAACACACATATTAAAGCTCTTTAACATGATTAAATGTAGATGCTGAATCACTGATATGTGTTGGTTTGCACTGAGTCTCAGTTTTAGAGTTCAATTTCAGACGGTTTATTTTATTTTCCAGATCTGAGATGAACTTTCTGCTGCTGCTTTCAGTTGTACTGCAATCAATGTCATGTAAAATGCCATTCAAACTTGCATTATTAGCATTTAATAAAGCACATGAGGTGTACCTGAGCTGATCATTGTCAGTCAGTCTTTGTTTAAACAAAAACTCCCTTTAATATGGAGATTATTCCTTCTATTTCTTGCCATTGCTTTTAGTTAGAACACGATTTAAACAAGCCTTTGTTGTTCTTGCGTGTTTCTAACCAGGGGTGCAATACCTAGCTCAACCAAAATCAAACTTACATACTGCACCTTTATTGGAGATGCATAAGAATATGCATTTCAAGAGTTCACACTTAGCTGATGATTTATAAAAGCTTGTTTGGCATGCTGTCCCGGGACAGAGCCCTGAGCTCAAGGCATCCTCGAGCCCAGGGCTTCCTCCCGTTGGCAGAGCGAGAGGGGAGCCTGAGCTTGGTGGATCTCAGAACTCCCCGGCTGCGGTTGCTAAGGGAACAAAAGGGGTTAGACAAATGCTTGATTGTTATGCATGTTGAATGTCTTTGGATGGTGGGAGGAAACCGGAGAACCCGGGGAAAACCCACGCGGACACGGCGAGAACATACAAACTCCACACAGAAACGCCCACCGGCCTGGTGGGACCATGGCCGGCAGTGTTCTTGCTGTGGGGCTCACAGTGCTAACCACTGGCCCGCCGTGCCGCCCGATCAGAGGTAAAGGAGGAGAATAGGGGAGAAAAGGGGGTTTCTTCCAAACGAAGATAAAATGGACGGAAAACTGTGGTTATTCATAGTAGCTTAGGGCTCATATGATTGGAAGATAGTAATTAGCAAATACGAGACCGGCCGTGATGAATCATAAGCACGTGATCCTCTCGAAATTAGTTTATGAATAGACTTCACATAAATTTGGAAAATGTGCACTTTTTTTTTTTTTGGAGGTTTTTCTGAGCTCCTGATTAACTTTGCGTCATTAGCGTTGGTTTGCAGCCTCGCATGTTTCCATGTTTACATTGTTGCAGATCAAAAATTTTGTTCTGCTAATTGCAAAAGGCCTCAGCCCTTCGTCAGTCTGTCATCACAGTGCTTCAGTCTTATTATTCATCTATTATTATTCCCTTCAGAACTGTCTTGAGCATCTGTCTCGCGCCTCCAAAAGCCACCGCATTCACCTCGTCATTACGTTTCGTCTTCTGAGGCGCAGCTCATTTATTAGAGGAAAAAAAAAAACACCACAGTGGCAAATCCCAAACTACACTTCTCTGACTGATATCTGCTCCAGTTATCAGAAAGTGACCATTTGGTTCTCCTTTACTTATTAGATAAAAACGGTGCTTTATTTGCTAATGATTTATGCAATATTTACTTTTGTGTTCAACAGAAGAAAGAAACTCACACAGGTTTGCAACAAATGGAGGATGTTTCATCTTTGGGTGAACTATCCCTTTATTAAACACCCCCCTTAAAGATAGTTTTTAAGCTGTAGTTCTGCATCTTCTCCTCCAGCTGTCCAAATCTCAGAGTCAGGGATCCTTCCTGCCCTCCCCGATCCGAGATTCTCCGGTTCCTCCACCTAACGTCCCGCTGAAGCCTTACGGTCCCCCAGGGATGCCGCCCAATGGGCCACCGATGATGATCCGACCACCCAACGGACACCTTCCCATGATGCCCCCCGACCCGCGCTTCAGACCTCCACACATGGACTCTTACGGCCCGCCTCCACACATCGGCCCGTTTGGACCCGTGCCTCCACCTTTTGGTATGTTTAATATAAAACTATTAGGAATTATTTTAATTTGTCTGTCTTGAATTGAATGAGTAGTCGCTGCTGATGTCATCAATAAGACACAAGATGCAAATGTTCCAAGGTGTCCTTGCTGCAGTCTGTAACCACGATGACGTACTTGACCAGGTCCTTGTACCGCCCACTAAGGAAACGCCCTAGCTACTGTGATGGTTGGGTTTAAGGCAGGGGGTGGTGTTCATTACGTAGTTGAACTGGTCAAGTACGTCATCAAGCTGCGGGCTGCAGTGTGGACTGTCTCAAATGGTCTGCGACACACCACAATTTGTGATTCACATTGGTGTTTTCTTGACACTGGAATTCGGCAACAATCGATACTGAAATTTTAAAAGTGTCCATTTCCCCCTAACATTTGTTCTTAAACTGCGCGATTGGCCATTGTGTTCACGTACTCAACAGAAATGACTGGGATTGGCTGTGAAGGTCATCAGTTCACCAAACTCACCAGTTTACTGAGTGTAACCACAGATACAGGGACACTGATTCATCAGCAGATCTCTTGTATGTCAGCTCATAAACAGACTAGCTGACCTAAATGATTACTATGTGCCATGTCCCGCCTCCTTTCCAGCAGTCTGAATTACTTTCCTCTCAAAGCTCATTTTGGACATTGGACGTGCTTCATTTATTGATTTGCAATAGATTTATTCATGTTTTTAAAAACCTGTAAAGTGTGCCTATAGCGATTTGAAAATGAAAGCAAACTTTCAAAAGCAACAAAATTCTTTCTGGGGGGCAATCCCCCCCTTTGGACCGGGCCTGTACTAACATAAAAAAACGTTGCTTTAATTTCACAGGACCTTTGAACTGAAAGCTGCGACCATTTTTTATCCCTGTATTGTGAAGCAGTTCCTAGAGAAATGGAATATTAAATAATGAAATGTTACCGAGCAAACAGTAACGTTAAGGCAAATCCAGAAGAGTGGTCACCAAGCAGGCACGTGGTAACAACGTAAAAAAACAAGGAAAGACATTGCAAGGAAAAACCCGTTGTAAAGTTCAGATAAACAAGACTCAGCAAGTGTGTGTGTGTGTGTGTGTGTGTGTGTGTGTGTGTGTGTGTGTGTGCGTGCGTGCGTGCGTGCGTGCGTGCGTGCGTGCGTGCGTGCGTGCGTGCGTGCGTGCGTGCGCTGCTTAAATAGTCCTCATAATCAGTCCTTTACAATCCTCCGGCTGCGTTTATGAAATCAATGGTGATGCGGAACAGCTGTGTGCAAAGTGGATGACAGGACTTGTAGTTCAATAGTGTGTGTAGTAGAGTCACTGGATCGCTTTTGTTTATTTTGTTTCCGCAAAATTTTAGGCCTTAAAAAATCTTAAATTTGCTGTTGTAGGTCTTAAATATTTTTGCACAGGTCTTATTTTTCCGATGTCCATGTAACGCTACATCTAATGCTCATTTAAATTCTTTTTTGTTGTTGTTGCTTGGTTTTCATGGTGTTGTAGTTCTTCATTTCACTAGTCCAATTGTAATTTGCGGCATTACAACTACAAATGAGACCAACATGCAATAGCCAATCAGCTTTCTGTTATTAAACTTCGTGCACACAACAAATTTGACGCGAGTTAAGTTTTAGCTAAGTTTTTGGAAAACTTTAGAAAAACCTGAGGGATAAGTTTTTTATAACAAAAAAAGAGGCCAGGGCAAAAGTGGAGACCCAGGTGGTTTTAATATTACAGAATATGTTTTTCCACTAGTCACAGGTTTTACACTGATGTATATATTACAATTTTATATTAAAAAAAACTCATTAGTTACAAACTAAAATTAAGGAACAAATTATGTCTTTGATAACTGGAAAGGAATATTAGAAGCTGTCAGTTTACAATATATTGATGCCCAATTTCTAGGCTTTTGGTGATAATGGTCAGGAATGTTGAACCATTATTGCCTTTTTAGCTTAAAAGTAGAGGACAGAAACTTGCCAGACAGTGATGTGTGAATTGAGTGGGCAAAAAAAAAAAAAGTCAGTTTTTTTTTAGGAAGTACTTTTTGTTGTTGTTGTTGTTGCTTTTATTCTTGCCATAATAAAGAATATAATTGTAGATCAGCCCATGTTGTTGTCATTAATATTGAAATGTATTAGGTAAAACTGTGAGAAAAAATCCTGATAATCATTATAATAAATTATTAAAAGATTAAAAAACATTTAGTTTAAAAATCTTCAATAATATTAATGATATGTAAAGTAAAGTAGTAAAGAACTTTTATTGTCATTGTAGTTGTACAACGAAATGTTAATGTGTACAATGTACAAAGAGGAGGGGTGGCACAGGCTACAGCTCTGGGGAAGAAGCTGCTCTTTAGCCTGTTTGTGCGAGTCTTAATTGCCTTATATCTTTTCCCTGATGGGAGTAGTGCAAAAAGTTTGTGTCCTGGATGAGTAGGGTCCTTAATGATGTTGCTAGCTCTCCTCTGTAGGCGGCTAGCATAGACTGTATCGAGGTTTGGGAGTTTAATTCCTATGATCCTCTGTGCAGTCTTAACAGTCCGGGATAGAGCTCTCCGGTTTTCCGCAGTGCAGCTTGGGTACCACACTGTGATGCAGTGACAGAGGATGCTCTCTATCGTGCTCCTGTAGAAATTTAGTAAGAGCTGGGTCGGTACTTTTGTTTTCTTGAGTTTTCTTAAGAAGAAAAGTCTCTGTTGAGCTTTCTTCACTAAGTGGGTGGTGTTAATGGTCCATGTGAGATCTTTTGTCAGATGTAGGCCTAGGAATTTGATGTTGTTTACCCTCTCAACTTCCTCGCCATTTATGTGGAGGGGGGTTGGTGGTGTCCTTTTTGCTCTTCTGTAGTCTACAACGATCTCTTTTGTTTTGGAGGTGTTCAGAACCAAATCGTTATTGACACACCAGTTGATTAGGTGTTGGACGTCCTCTCTGTAGTGAGACTCGTTGTTACCTGAGATTTGTCCTATTATTGTGGTGTCGTCAGCAAACTTCACTATAGTGTTGGAAGGGTGAATGGGTTTGCAGTCATGTGTGAATAGGGTGAAAAGTACTATGAAAAGTATATGACGTAGTTCTGAAAACTTTCTACTTCTCTGTTTATCCGTCTGATTTTACTGTCTGTTTCTTTTGGCCGCCCCCTGTCGTTTAAAAGAATACCTCAATGGCGAACGCGGCAAGTATAAAAGCCTTGTCGTATTGTGTTATAGGTCTTAAATTAAATACTTAATGGCCTTAGAAAGGTCTTAAAGTCTTAGGTTTGATATACCTACAGTGACCCTGTTGTAACACAAGGGCAAACTGTTTTATTTTTCTTAAAGACATGCACAGATGAATTGCTGAACTAGCAACGTGAGCTAACAAAAACAATGTCTGTTTTGATTTCATGTGTACTTTAGGTAATGAAAGCAGAAGGTTAAGATTATATATTTAGTGAATCTAAAATCTTCTGTTTGTATTCGTTTGATCAGCTCGAGGGCCTCCACTGGGGCCGCCACTCGGACAGCGGGACGTCCCGCCAGATTTCTTTGCACCCCGCGGCCTCCCTCCTCGGCCCTTTCCGCCTGGACCTCTGCCACCCCCCGGAGCCATGATCCCTCCTCCATACAGCGGACACCGTTTTCCAGCAGCCCCTGCAGTACTGTCTCAGAGCTCCAGAGATGGAGACGAGGAGCCGCCGCAGACCCACGGGGAGCCCTGAAAAGCATCTGCGGAGGGGAAACGATATTAGTTTGATTTGAGTTTTCTTTAATAACACATTTGCGAGCAGAAATAATGAGGGTTTTGATTTTATACATTAGCAAACCTTTCCTATGGAAATAGTTTGATTTAATTCACCTTTGTTTTGTCTTCTCTCCTGTGGTTAAACGATGACATCCACCACTCGCCCAGTGCTCATCTTGGGATATCGAACCAATATTTAGGCAAGCCATTTATTTCCTCATGCCTTTAATGTGAGAGGACTTTTTTTTATGCCTTCCTCTTCTTCACCGTGTTTTCGTTTGTTTGCTTTTAGTCTGATGATTCTCCAGCTCACGTAATACGATTCAGCCTGTGTTTATTTTAACGTTTGATCCGTCGTGATTTCTTTTCCTAGCGGAAAGGCACATATGATGTCATATTGACAAAGTATTTGTACATTTCTTTCAGCTGCGCGTGTGTTATTATTCAGAAATCCCCAAACGAACACGTCAGCTCAGATAAACGTCTTCTCTTTGAGTTTTCAGCGCCGTATGTATTAATTAAAGTCGTAGAGACGCGACTGTTTTTAACGACGAAACATGAGAATGCATTTAGTTCCTGCATCAAATTGAATGTGACCGTTTAGTGTGATTCTTTTATGAACAAATCTCTCTCATTCAGTTAAGACAGGAATCATTTTCGTTAAATTGCAATAATTTACTCTGCTATATTTCATTTAGCCCACAACCAGTGGTGTTTCGTGGGTTTTTGATGCTACAACAAAAATAATCCCAATATTCAAAACTATTTTTTCATCTGCGTTTCATTTTTGGCATATGCCTCTTTTTTTTCTTTTTTTTTTTTGGTTTGGTATTAGAGTAAATTATTTTAGGAAGTGTGTCGAGAGAATGCATCTTGTGTAAGAGTGTCTGCATCATGTTGAAATCTTAGGGAAGAAACGGTTTTAAAAACGAATGCGGCATTGATTTCATGGGAATGAATGAATGAGTTGAATAAAGCTGCTTTTTCCTGATGCTTCTGATTCCTCTGTCGGGCATCTCGACACCTGCCAGGCTGATATAATAATAAGATTTCTTTAAATGAGTCTGTGGTTATGCTAATTAATTTAGAACATTCGTAAATAATCAGTATTCATTAAGTAAATATGCAGTAAATAATAATTAAGTAAATAATCATGTATTCAGCTCAGAGTATTTAGACTCTTTGGATAGTAACACATAATTGAATGTCATAACGCAGTGGTTCTCAAACTGTGGTACGTGTACCACTAGTGGTACACAGGCTTCCTTCTAGTGGTACGCAGAGGAATTGCTGAATAATTCAAGTAAAAAAAATGAACACACTTTTAACTCTGACACATGCAATAACACCAATGTGATCAGTAAATTGATTTTAATAGGCTAAAACTTTTAAATTTATTTTCAATTTTCTAATGTTTGTTTTGTATTCCATCATTTGAAGCTAGTCTCCTCCCCATATTTGTAACAGTTGTTGGGGGCTTATCCTGTATTTTTATGTCCCAATGTTGACAGGTATAGTTTAATCACTTGCTTTTGTGACACACAAAGCCTATAACTTGCAGTAAGCAGATCTGATTTCTAAATTAAATATGTAAATCCAAATCATACATTTAAAGTTAATGTTTAGATTTTAAATGCATACAAATACGTTAAAAATATGTGCAACATCTATTACAAAACTTTTCAAAAACATTTTATATATGAATAAGATCACAAATAGCCTATATTTATGAGGTCCGAGGCTGCTATATGTTTATACTTTACATTTAAGTACAGCAATTTTCTTTTTTCTTTTTAAGGCCATTTGTAATTAACTTTTAGAAGCACATTTTAATTTAAAGATTTTTTTTACCTGTAAGCACAGAGCAGTGTTAATGTTCAAGCTATTTATTATGTTTAAAGTTGCTGACAATAATAAATATTCATAATAATAGAAATTAATCTGCCTCATTTCTGAATTGTCCAGAGCTTTAGCTGCTTAATTAGGCCTGCTACACTACTGTATTTTAATACTGGTCGTTATGGTGGTACTTGGAGAGACTATTTTTTTCTGAGGTGGTACTTGGCGAAAAAAGTTTGAGAACCACTGTCATAACGAATACAAATGTCAACCTAGACGTGCAAATTTAGAATCATTGACCATTTATAGTAAATACTACAGTGATTTTGAAGCATACTATAATAAAGGTAAAGTACTTGAATTAATCTGTTGTTGTAATTCTATAGCAACAAAACAACATCACTACCCGAAGTCTAGTCGCCCATCCATGTTTTAGGAACAGCAAATAATAACTTGACTTCTAGTTAATCATTTGGTGTCAGAAGTGTCTTATATAAAAGGCAAAGGCCTCTAGATTACGCCTATTTGAGCACAATAAAATCTGATCATGTTTTGATTTTGAATTAATTAATTAATAATGACAGTAAGGTCTGACTTTGCTTAGATTAAAGTCTCATCACTGAACAGGAATAATGTCCAGTGTAGAATATAAAGTCCTGCTGCAGTGGAGACAGAATGAATATTGTGTCTGACTCCATCATGAGCTTGGAGGACTGCATCCATACATCTCTGACAAGACTCAAATCACTGATTAATAAAGTCATCTGGAATGAAGAAGAAAGCGTTCCTGCAGGACTCCCAGAGTTCATCAAGAGTCTTTGTGTTCATCTTTAACGTCTCCTCCATCTTACCCTAGACATGCTCAATAATGTTCATGTCTGGTGACTGGGCTGGCCAATCCTGGAGCAGCTTCTTTACTTTCAGGAGATTTGATGTGGCGGCTGAAGTATGAGCAGGAGCGCTATCCTGCTGGAGAACAAATGTCTTGATCCCTCAGACTGTTGATGCTGCAGATCTCTCGCACGCCCCCATACTGAATGGAACCCCAAACCATGATGTCTCCTTCACCAAACTTGACTGATTACTATGAGAATCTTGGCTCCATGTGGGTCCAGTAGGTCTTCTGCAGTATTTGTGATGATTGGGATGCAGATCAACAGATGATTCATGGGAAAAATCCACCTTCTGACAATTTTCCAAATTATCCAGTAGTGCACACTAATATAAATAAATTATTCAATACTGTACTTTTTTTTTGTTAACAACTTATAGCATATTATACTAGAATACACCAATGATTACTGTAGAAAAACTAAAATCTTCTGCAGCGTTTATTAGTTTACCAGCTCATTATAGTTACTACATTATGCTGTTGCAGTCATTAAAAAGGGCTGTAAATGCTATAACATGGTAAAATACACTACAGTATGGTTCAAAGACTATTTACTATATATGATAGTATTTTTATGTGGGTTGAAACTCTGGTAACATTTCACAAGAGGCTCCCATTATTTAACCGCGAATAGTGTAAGTATTTAGAAATGTGAATTTTGCAGTTATAAATGTGGTAAATGTTTGTAATGTTGATGAATAAAGCCTTGTTCCTGTGTTACTTTAATTCTGAAACAGATATCATGTAGTGTCCCTGCTGTAAAATCCAGCTTAAACCAGCCTAGGATGGTTGGCTGGTTTTGGCTGGTCGACCAGGCTGGTTTTAGAGGGGTTTTGGCCACTTCCAGGTTGGTTTCCAGCCTGGTCAGGCTGGGAGATGACCAGCTAAAACCAGCTTGACCAGCCTAGCCAGGCTGGGAGCCCAGACAAGTCCAGCTTAAACCAGGAGGTTCAAGCTGGTTTTAGATGGTTTTAGCTGGTCACTTTTCATCCTGACCAGCTAAGACCAGGCTGGAAATGGCTGGAAACCAGCCTGGAAATGGCCGAAACCCCTCTAAAACCAGCCTGGTCGACCACCTAAAAGCAGCCAACCATCCTAGGCTGGTTTGAGCTGGATTTTTCAGCAGGGATATCGACCCACATAAAAGAATACTATAGTGATTTATAGTTTTGAACCACACTGTACAGTAGGCTATATATAGTATTTGTATCTCTGTTAATAAATGCTGCAGCATACTTGGTATTATCGTGAACTGATAAACTCAATAAATACTGTACTGTAGCTACTTTAGCTTTTTTTTACTACAGTAAACTGTGGTGTATTGAATTGCATAATACACTTACAAAATGCAAATACCCTGAAAACTACGGTATTGTGGTAATTTGTTTATCTTAATATACCATAGAATATATAGCTAGATTTCCCTGCTGAAAGATCCAGCTTAAACCAGCCTAGGCTGGTTGGCTGGTTTTAGAGGGGTTTTGGCCATTTCCAGTCTAGTCTTAGCTGGTCAGGCTGGAAAACGACCAGCTAAAAGCAGCCTGACCAGCGATTACCAGGCTGGAAATGGCCAAAACCCCTCTAAAACCAGCCAGCCTAGGCTGGTTTAAGCTGTTTTTTTTCTGTTATTTTACCATAATACAGTTCAAAAACACTTTATGACTACTATAAATTAGTATTGTATTTTTTTCATGTGGGGGAAACAGGTTTTGTGATTAGTTAGTGAATGATTATCAATCGATGATGTCATTTATCTAATACAATTAAATTTAGGTTTAGAAGTTTAAATTATTCTGGGATCACATTCTGGAAGCACTTTCGGAGAATACAGGTAATATTTATCAATCAATCATGCCTTTAATGTAAAATCATATAAACATAATGTTTTAAACATTCGTTATTGTAAACAACTGAAGTAGCTCGCTGTATACTCGTGTTTCCTAGAGGCGAGACTGATTTCACCTAAAGGGTATTTATAAAATATTCATGATTCAAGCAGCGTTATTATTTATTAGAAATGAGACATTTGGAGAAAAAGAAAAAGCTGTGCAATGATACACGTTTTATGATAAAGCCGTCCGTCCATATGTGTAAGGTTTTTATTCACTAAACTCACTTCATTCGGTTTTGGCGGGACTCCAACACTGACATCAACACCATTAAACTGACTGACGGGTAAAACACATTTTTTATTATTAATTATTTCTTGATCAGCTAAGATCGTGTCAAAAACTGTAAAAATGAAGCTGAAAATTAGCCGAGCTCGCCAGAATGTAGGCTATTTAAACTCTGTTAAAACCAAACATTTTGAGAAATCCCTCAGTAATTTCCTCAGTAATTTCCAAACAAACATGGAGCTAATAAAACCGACAATGACTCTGCTTTCTTGTGGTCAAAGTTAATATTTACTGGCTTTCCTTATTATGAATTATTATTATATTTACTTTGATAAGGGTGATGCGTTTTTATAATCCAAAGGCTACATTTCAAATAAATGCTAATGCTAACGTAGTTTTAGCCTGGTAATATCAACACAAAACTGAATAAGTATTTGAGAAAACCTTATGTCTGAAAATACAACTTATGAAGACTTTCAGTGTGGTTTTGTGAAGATCATTCATGAGTATGTAGCATTAGCAGAATGCTAAACTGTTAAACACTATTCGTAGGCCTAATGGGGGTAATCTAAAATGTTTTTAATAATATACTCGCCCTCATATAGTTCCAAACATATCTATTTGCCGATTTTTCCTCCACAGAACAAAAGATGCAGAAGTTATTAATAAACCCAAGACAAAACTGGATGCTAATATTTATTAATTCTATGAACCAAACTCTAAGAAAATGATTGTTGAATTATACTTAATTTGAGTGAATCGTTATAATTCTGTCTGCTTGCATAACATTTTCATACGCTTTTAGACAGAATTAAACAATGTTTTTTATAATCATGATTTATTTTTGATGTTTCTGTTTCTGCCACTGCATATCAAATTTTGACAGCATGTTTGGAATATGAGGGTGAGCTACGTCTTTAATAAAATAAAAATATAAAAAAAACCAATGAAGAATGTTGCCTAAATATCAAGTTATCCATCCGCTTTCTTCAGAAATCATCACACAGAGCAGTATTTATAAACATTTGAGGTTTTGAAATGGTTTCCGTCTCATATCCTCGTCTCTCTTGCAGATGAAGACGCCATAAATTCCAAACTTCAGACTGGAGATCTGAGGGAAAAGTGTCCAATATTGCCAGGAATGTGAGAGGTGATGCACCAAAAGAAAATCAGTCATTTGTGTCTGTCATGAGTTTGGTTTTAAGATCATTTAGTCTTTGTGCAAAGTCTGGTTAAGGTGCAGGTAAAGTGGTTTCTTCGTCAAGAGGTTGAGTTTTTTCCTCTTGAAGTCAGTCGGTTTCTTGTACCTGAAATCAGATTCATACAAATAACATTCAAGGGTTAGTTCACACAAAAACAACATGGACTGTGTTTGGTTCCTTTTCAGAAGCTTATTCGAGAGGTCAGATTTCATCTAAAGTATCCTTAAGGGGTTGTTCACCCAAAAATGAAAATGTCTTGTTAATTTACTCACCCACATGCCATCCAAGATGTAGGACATTCATCCTTGTTGATTCATATAATGGCATTGAATGGTGACAGGTTTTTTTAGATTGAAAATTAACATGCAAACGAGTCCAGATCAATAACAATGATGACACACTGAGGTCTCATGAAGAGAAACGATTGCTTCGCGTAAGAAATTGAACATTATTTACAATATTATTAGCTTTAATCCACAGCTGTCATTAAAATTACTGAATTACAATCGGACTATGTTCGCATGAGTGCTGAGAACTGTTTGACCAGGCTGTAGAATAATTATTGAGCTAATAATATTGTAAACAATGTTCAATTTCTAACACTGAGCGATTGTTTCGCTTCACAAGGCCACAGTGTGTCATCAGGAGCCATGGTTATAGATTCGGACTTGTTTGTATGTGATTATTTTTAAAGGGCACCTATTTTACCTCTTTTACAAGATTTAAGATGAGCCTTTGGTGTGTCCAGAATGTGTCTGTAAAGTTTCAGCTCAAAAAACCCATCAGATAATTTAATACAGCTTCCAGAATCTGCCCATTTTGATGTAGCAGTGTAGCTGTTTATGTAGACTGTAGCTTTAAATGCAAATAAGCTGCTTCTCCCCTCCCACCGTTCCCATGTGCATGTCTGCTTCTCATCAAGCGGCAACCTCCCGCTCTCCCTCAGGAAGCCAATACGGAAGTAACTAAAACTGCAATTCATCTGAAGTTCCGCTAGTCCTGGCCGCTCCTGGCTCCAAAACAGAGCAAATTTCAATTGAGCCCAGTGTTAGAATGGCCAACTTTACAGCAGAAAAAAAGGTGTTTACAGCCCGGTACAAAAAAAGATTTTAGTTAATACAGCTAATATTACCCTTCATGACAACTGTGAGGGGGTGAATTTTTTTATAACTCATCCGTTTCCTTTATATTAAGTTATATTAAGTTTGCATAATTAAGGGCGTGGCCACTTGAGTGACAGCTAGGTCTCGTTGGTCGCCGTCACGTCACCTCAGCTGAATCCTGCAGATTAGCCACTGAACTCGGCATATTTATCGTATTTCTGTGTTGTTTTATGAGGCTTTACACACTCAACTGCCTTTTGGACTTGTTTCCCACAATTATTAGATGGCATGGCATGCTGAGGGCACTTAATGGTGCTCACAAACCATTCACGTGGCCTCCGTTTCCCATGTGAGTAAAGTTATCTACTTATATACCATCTCTATACATGTATTTGTTTTATTTAAGATCATTTATCGTTTATATTTATATTTAGAGCTGTAATGCACTCCAGAATCTGTCAGATTGATTAGCTGTAGGCTCTAGATCAGTCGTCTGAAGTGTTGTCATACAGTGTTATACTGGATTTCATCAATAGTCTTACAGTAACTAACACAGACTATATCTGAAGTGTTTGGAAGTAATTCGCGTTTTCCTCCTGTTGAAAAACGTCATAAGAACAATGTTTAGTGGCTCAATGTATTACAGCAGTGTTTTTAAAAGTCTAAACACTTTATTGATATAGTGTACAGCCAAGCACAAGTGGTCAGAATACAAACGAGTCGCAGGTGATGAAGTATTAAGCGTTCTCCCAAAGTAAAGTGTGTCTGAACCAGGTCCAGGCTAAATGCCAGCAGGTGTCTGTAGCTCCGCTCACTCTCCGCCTCTTTGCCCTTGTTTGGTATCCCGCTGTGGGTGTGATGACGCTTGACCAAAATGGCGACGGTTGGCCGCGCCTACTTGTGGCTTCTTTTGCGCTCTTCAGAAACCTATGGGTGACGTCACGGACACTACGTCCATCTATTTTACAGTCTATGCTTCTTATGCGTTATGTCCAGTGTTGCCAGATTGGGCAGTTTTGAATTTGATTGTGGGAGTAAAAAAAGGCATAGTTGACAAAATCTGGGCAGTTTTGAAAGGTAAATTTTATATGCAACTAGGTCTGTGCAATAATCGAAAATCCGATTTCGATTTTGCCTTCTAACGATTATGAAAAATCATTAATCGAGATAAACGATTATTGCATCATATACCGCTCCCTTTCCAGTTGTACACGTGTTGATCTTAAAAGCGCGAAAGACAGCATGATTCTGTGTGCCGCGCACACACAGAATTGAAGCATGCAGTCAGCATTCGGTCTCACTCGCACACTGAGACGAGCAGAGCGCAGTCAGCGCACACATCTAAAGTCATCTTAACGTGAGCGCTTTAATGGTCAAATAGGTGTCAAAATGCGGTGTTTAGTGATTATATCAAGCATCATTTGTGTAATAAACAAACGAGTTTCAAAAGAGAATCAAAAGACACGCGAAAGAGAAACCATTAAAGAGACAGCGCGCTATAATCCTTCTGCCGCCTGTTTTTATGATTATTAATCAAACAACAAATGGAGAACATGCCTCGGCTCTTCACTGAAGGACTTTTGTAGCTAAAGTGTTTCGTAAAGTTTGTTTTATATTTTTATCCTATTGTATTTATTTCTCTTTCCTTTGCAGGGTGGAAAATAACTGTTTGTATACAGTTGAAGTCTGAATTATTAGCCCTCCTGAATATTAGCAACCCTTTTCCCCCAATTTCTGTTTAATCAAAAGATTTCTGAACATAATAGCTTTAATAACTCTTTTCTAATAACTTATCTATTTTATCTTTGTCATGATGACAGCACATAATATTTGACTAGATATTTTTAAAAAATACATGCATTCAGATTCAAAGTGCGATTTAAAGGCTTAATTAGTGTTATTAGACAGGTCATTGAATAACAGTAGATTCTTTTGCAGACAATCAAAAAATATATTGCTTAAGGGGGCTAATATTATAGACTTGCTTGAAAAAACCTACTTTTATTCTAGCCAAAATAAAAATAAAAAAGCCTTTCTCCAGAAGAAAAAAATATAAGAGGAAATACTGTTAAAATTCCTTGCTCTGTTAAACATCATTTGGGAAATATTTATTTTTTACAAAATTCTCAGGAGCGCTAATAGTTTTGACTTTAACAGTAATCGTTTTGAATAATTGTGATTTCAATTATGACCAAAATAATCGTGATTATGATTTTTCCCAAAATCGAGCAGCCCTATATGCAACTGTGTGGTCCTATTCAGTTAGTAGAGAACAGTGCATAGCGCAAATCGTGCGGGCCCACCTGCAAGAGGAGGTGAAGGTACATTGCATCAAAATCTGACTCCCTGTACAAATCTGACTCCCCTTCGCGTACACGCACATCACACAGCGCCTGCAGTTACACTCACAGCAGTTTATTATGACACTTTTATCAGTCTTTTTTTCCGCAATTAACAGCAAGAACAAACAGAAGCGCTGTCTGATTGACAAGCGGCACCTAATTATGTTCAAAAGAATTTAAAACGCCAAATGGGACGACTCTGTACCTCATTTCAAAGTAAAACATACTCTAATAGGCAGTGTAATCTACACAACAATAAGTGCAGTGTGTGGGTGAGAGGGGGCAGTGTTTCGAGGTCATCCAGTTATGTTGTGGTTCTGCGACTGCTGGTTATGGTTGCGGTGTGGTTAAAAATTATGAATATATGAATAATATAAATTAAAATAAATATTAGTCAAATATTTTAGCCGTTTTTTTTGTGCGTTTGGGCTGGAAAAAGTTAGTTATATCTGGCAACACTGGTTACATCAGATAAACAGCAGTCAGTGACAGAGATGAAGCTGAAATACAGCTCATTAGTCAAAAATACCAAGTAACATATTTGATGTATTTGTGGTGGAGTTTATTCAAGCCTTTCTGAAACGATGATTCTCTCACACACACACACACACACACACACACACACACACACACATGCACGTTGTAACGAACAAACGTTACATGCTTTAATTGTTGTTTTAGTTTCTTGTGATGCGAGAAGCACTGGTTGCAATATTACTACAGGCCACTAGGTTGCACTAGAGGGGAGTGAGAACTGGATATATTCCAGCTCACCATAGAGCAAGTGAGTCGTGTTTGGTAGAGGGAACCACATGGTGAACTGAGGCTACCGACCCACTCCGGTTCTGATTGTTTTGAGAACATTATTGTTGCTGCTCAAATGTGAGTATTGAATACGTTTTAAGTTTGAAAGTATTTTCAATGGTTGGTTGTGATTTGCCCTATGTTTATTTCTTATGTAGACAGGACCTGTTGTCCTAGAGATGTTCAGATGAGGTGTTTGTTGGTTCTTTCAATGGACTGCAATGATTTGGTTTCAACGTTCTTTATGCTTCTCATTGGCAAATGAACTATATGTGTACATGTGGAATGACGGTCAGTGACTCTTAAATTCATCATACTACCGTTTTCCCAGTGTGAGGAAGTGGATCTTATTGCATCGCACTCAAATCCATCTACGCAACATTCACCCAACCATCTATATCATTTACACAGACTGTTTACATTCAATGACTGCTTGGTTTTGGATATTGATTACTTTTGTTTGTGTGGACTAAATACTGTATACACATGTAGAGAAATTAAACAAGAAGGAAAAAGGGAAAAACAGGCTTGTGAAGTTTATTTTAATTTCAGTATGTGTGAAATAAAAATTCTGTGAACTCCCTCAGTGTAACATCTTGCATGCATAGAGGTGGTGTTACAGATGGCGCCCGAACAGGGACATTCGTGAATTGTATTTTACGAAGTCCTTTGAATTATAAAGAGATATTTCACTGATACTGAAATTCTTCACAAGCAAATATTACAAATTTACAATGGAGGACAGAGCAGCTAGTGTGGATTATTCAGATGAAGCCTTCACTCATCTCAGAGATCCTGTAGCTAATCTTATAGATACTTTTAGTGAATTGTATCTAGATTCAGAAGTAGAAAAAGAAAGTAAAGATGAGCCTCCACAGCAGGGACAGGAAGACATTAGTAAAATTGATGACTTTCCATCACCACCCCCACCCCTTGACTTTCATAATGATCAATTACAGTTTGTTATTAGTTGTTGCTAGATTTTTGGGGTGTTGTAGTTCTATATTTCACAAGTCCAATTGTAATTAGCGGTATTACAACTACAAAAAAGTCAACTTGCAATAGCCAATCAGCTTTCTGTTATTAAACTCAGTGCGCGCGGCGAATGTGACGTCATCGCTGTGTTTGCGGAAGTTCGCTTTGAGTGCGCGTGACATGATTTCGGCTGGCAGAGTATGCCGTTATTTCACTGACACATGTCGCAAGCGCAGTTTTATAAGTCGGGAGCGTTGTAATGCGAAAGAGCGAAATTTAAATAACTTTATTTTACCCCTAATTTTGTGCTTTTACATTTTCTCTCGCGTGTTTTTAATATTGCGATATAGGTCTTAAATTTAACACTTAATGGTCTTAAAAAGGTCTTAAAAGGTCTTAAATTTGACATTATGATATCTGCAGAGACCCTGTCCATGATAGACGCGGTGGAGAAAACTCTGCAGACATCCGCTCATGTCTCTATCCAGAAGAATCGCTGTAACAGCCGAGAGGAGAGGAAACGTCACACCAGCAGGTCAAATGGGTCACAGTTACTTTCATTCTCTCAAACGCAGTGAAATGGGGGCTTCTGCTGTTAGTGGAAGACTTTCCAGCAAACACACACGCAGTGAAATTGTGCAGAGTTTCTGCGTTTTTAGGTAGTTGGAGCGTTGTAAATACTCGCACTCGCCTCCCTCACCATTGTAAGCTACGGCGACATAGTGCATACGAGATAAATGACGTCAGTACATAATAATCGGTTATGATTATTACTGAACCGATACCGAATTGTCCGCGTCTGCATCGCAGTGCGACGAAGAAACACCCCTACTATGCGGCCGTGGTGATTATAGCGGTTAAGAATTACAGCAATTTTACTCTCTTAATTACAAACATGCTGTTTTAAAGATGTTTAAACTAATAAAAATCACAGAGAGTTGAATCAAATATTTTAATCCCAGTTTATTTGCAAAAAATGTTCTGTGGGCGTGTGTAAACATGTTATTAAAGAAAAATGGCTCTTGTCAATCAATTTGGTAGGCGAGGAAACCACACTCCGACGTCACATTGTGATGGGCCACTGATTATAGCTCACTGGTAGCTCACTTGTTGGGTTTCTATAAGGTTTGGGCGATGTCGACCAATTAGGCCAATTATTGTACGATGTCTAATGTGAAACATCGCAATGGACGATGACATGGTCATCATGTGAAAATGACATTTTCACATGATGAGGGGTTGATAGAATGCATGCGACGTACGTATCTTAAGAGCGAGAAGGGATCTGGGGGTGAGATGGGTGCGCGACTTATTTGAGGACCGGGAGGGAGATGCACGATTTCTGGGAGATTACCACTCGTTTGCTGCATTATGAGTCCCGCAAATGCATAGAGACTCCCGGAACTTCCGGGAAACTTGGGATGTCTGAATATTAGGTTTAACAGCTATAGTGAGACGCAAGCTGTACAATCTTGATAAACTGTCCGACGTGCACTGCTCTCTGCCTGGAGCTCAGAGGAGTGCATGACAGAGTGTGTGCGTGTCTGTGGCTATGTGTGTGTGTGTGTGGTCACGTGATGTGCGTTTTTAGCGGACGTCAAACACGTTGTGGATGTGTATCATTCTCGTTCTAAAATGCCATTTTAACACTAAGACATATTAGTGTAAACGGGGCCTGAGTGTGTATTTTTTGCGAGCGGGTTTGCGAAGGGGGCGGGGCAGAGGACCGGCTCAGCAACGTATTGTCTATTGGCCATCGGCGATGGACGATGTCATGGTCTATCGGCCCAACCCTATTTTCTATCACTCCAATGTGACTTTATCACTATACCTACAGTTCTGTCCAAACAGCTATGAAAAGTTGATTTTCGTCATAGGTGCCCTTCAATCTAAAAAACCTGTCACCATTCACTTCCATTATATGAATCGACAAAAGCCACAGATTCAGCTCAAAATCTGCTTTAATGCTCTACCGAAGAAACCGAAATTCTCCTACATCTTGGATGAGCGGTGGGTGAGTAAATTAACCCTCTAATTTGTGTTCAGAAGATGCACAGATCTCAGGGGATTGAAATGACATGAAGGCGAGTAATTAAAAGCTGAATTTTAATCATGAGGGTGAACTATTCCTTTAATGCCAGTTCAATGTAGAGCAAACAACTGGTCTGATACTCACAGCTCAATAACAATGGGACCTGGCTTGATTTCATCCATTTCCATGAAAGCGAAACACTTAGTGCTGGTGAATCTTTTCTTGGGTTTGTAGTGCTTGAATTCAAAGAAAATAGCTGCGCCTGCAGAGAAAACAAAGCACAAAAATATGTCATTAATAATTAAAAACCATTTAGTGGAGTGATATAGAGCTGTAACACTATCAAAAACTTGCCGGAACTACTTTAGCTGTGGTTTTATATGAAAATAACAACACACCTTAGAATGCTCATTAGCCAATCAGAATCAAGCATGGTAACAAACTGTAATACAGTTGAAATCAGAATTATTAGCCCCTTAATTTCTGTTTAAATTAAAGATTTTAATATAGTTATAGAATAGTTTTAATAACTCATTACTAATTACTGATTTCTTTTATCTTTGCCATAATTTTCCAGCCTCCACTGCTGAGACTGCAGCTCTGCACAAGACTTTTGTCCAGCAGAGAAATTAAAATGGTCGTGCCCAACTCAGTCTTTTTTTTTCTTTCAAGGTTTTTTTTCTTCATTCGCCTCGGTGAAGTTTTTTTTCCCTCTCCGCTGTCCCCACTAGCTTGCATGGTTTGGGATTGGTAGAGCTACGCATCGATGAATTTGCTCTTCAGTGTTTGGACTCTCAGTAATGATGTAAACCAGGGGTTCTCAACTGGCTATGCTAACCACATTTTTACATGGTCATCAAGCCGCGACCCAAGTTTTTAGGAACTATAATACAATTTTAGGAATTATAATTAATTTATATTTATTTGTTAACATACACGAGTAGTGAGATGAATTATAATAAAATCAGCAAGACTTACAAATAAACTATACAGTATTTCATTGCTGTCATTTAACAAAATGTATCAAATTACAGAGTAAAAGTGACAAATACTGTAAACTGTGGTTAGGGTATGGAAAGGTTCAGTTTCCATGAACTAAACTGTTAATAAAACATGTTGTCTGGTTTCTAAATGTCGTTTTAATTTAGAAGGTTTCGTGCTCTCTTGTGAGAGCACCTCGCTACTTATGACACACTGAGGCTTGAAGTCGTTTTTGCTGTCAATAAATGTAAATCCATACTTCACATATTCGGAGTCGTACCTGTGTTTTGACTTATTTTTGACTTCTTATTTTATTTTTTTTAATTTTTAATTTCACATGTCAAACAGTACGGTTGTCGTGCACGCATTTTAAAATAAAAGTCAAAATAAGTTAAAAATTTAACTTTTGTTATTTTTTTTTTTTTTTATCAAACACTCCGCGACCCACTGAAAATGTTCCCACGACCCACTTTTGGGTCGTGACCCACCAGTTGAGAAACACTGATTTAAACCACACTGAACTGAGCTAAACTGAACTGAACTTCAACACTAAAAACTGAACTACTCTGTTCCAGTTACTATGACCATTTATGTGAAGCTGCTTTGACACAATCTACATTGTAAAAGCGCTACACAAATAAAGCTGAATTGAATTGAAATGAATAATGACAGCTCAAAATATTTGACTAGATATTCATCAAGACACTAGTATTCAGCTTAAAGTGACATTTAAAAGATTAAATAGGTTAATTAGGTTAACGTTAGGGTAATTAGGCAAGTCACAGTATAACAGTGGTTTGTTCTGTAGACAATCCAAAACAACTATTGCTTCAGGGGGCTAATATTGACCTTAAAATGGCTTTAAAAAAATTAAAAACTGCTTTTATTGTAGCCGAAATAAAACAAATAAGACTTTCTCCAGAAGAAAAAATATAGGAAATACTGTGAAAAATTCCTGAATCTGTTCAACATCATTTGAAAAATATTTGAAAATGGATAAATATAGCACTGGGGGGTGAATAATTTTGCTAGTGTTGTCTTGAATGCGACATCAAAAGCACACTACTAGCAGTGCATAATGACTTTTCAGCCACTTCAGTGATGCTCAAATGCAAAGTTAGACCTTTGGGTAGTTTTTCCAGATGTCTCTGGATTTCCACATCCACACTAAAATGAATATATGTGTCCTCCTTCCGCGTGGCCACTGGTGTGTCCTGGACTGGGTTCAAGTCTATGCCATTCAGATCTGAGAGAAAGAAGTGAAAACGAGGAAACGTCAGACAGTAGCTATGTTTCCATCCACCTATTTTTTTTTATCAATATATTTGTATTATTAAAATATGAAGCGACCCCCCCCCTACCAAGCTCGCTGAGGCCCCCTTGTGGGCCGCGACCCCCCTGATGGGAACCACTGCTCTAAGCCATACAATATGACTTTGTGGATCTACTGATTTCCATTATATAATAATGAATGTCTTTGCTGCTATCAGAGCCATTTTAATCAAACGTAAATTCTTCCTTTGATCAAGCAGAAGAACTGATTCATCCCCCAGTAACATAACTCCTGGATCAAGTTATCATTAGCAATTTTTCCTAATTGTTTGTATTATATTTCTCCAATAGGTTTTAAGTTTGGAACATGTCCAATGCATATGTAATTTACATTTAGTCATTTAGCAGACGCTTTTATCCAAAGCGACTTACAAATGAGGACAAGGAAGCAATTTACACAACTAAGAGCAACAATGAATGTGCTATAGGCAAGTTTCAGGTCTGTAAAGTCTAAGAAGGAAAGCATTAGTAATTTTTACTAATTTTGAGTACAGTTAGTGGTATATACAGAGAGGCAATTGCAGATTAGTAAGGAAATTTGAGACTAAATATTTCAGTTTTTGGTCGTTTCTTGAAGACAGTGAGTGACTCTGCCGTTCTGATGCAGTTCGGGAGTTCATTCCACCAACTGGGCAGATTGAGCGCGAGCGTTCGGGAAAGTGATTTCTTCCCTCTTTGGGATGGAACCACGAGGCGACGTTCATTCACAGAACGCAAGTTTCTGGAGGGCACATAGATCTGCAGAAGTGAGAGCAGATAAGAAGGAGCAAAGCCAGAAGTCACTTTGTAAGCAAACATCAGAGCTTTGAATTTGATGGGAGCAGCAAATGGCAGCCAGTGCAAACGGATGAGCAGCGGAGTGACATGTGCTCTTTTAGGTTCATTAAAGACCACTCGTGCTGCTGCATTCTGGAACAGCTAAAGAGGTTTGATAGAGTAGTCGCTAGTAGAGAGTAATAATGTACCAACCTCGATTTTACATCTAGAACAACATTCTGAATATGAATTGCTCATCTTGTGCAATCGTTCAGATGAATAATATACGCTGTGTAAAATATTAAACTGTATGATCAACATGATATGATAAACATGGCTGATCATATGATGTGTTAAAGGGGATAGTTCACCCAAAATGAAAGGCGTCTGAGCTCTACCTTTAACACTGACTGTAATGTAGGGGTCGATACACTGTCCTGCGTCTTTCAGACCGATCTTCTCGATCGTCAGAGTCAGCAATGTCATTCCAGGCTCCGAGGGCAAACGTGGTAACAGAGAACCTGTAAATACAGCAAACCTTCATCATTATAATGAATAAATAAGAATAATTTCTAAGATAGAAGACAAACAAATCAACTTTTACAACATTTTATCAACTTTACAATAGCTGATGGAAAAACACCCACATGTGTAATCTTAATATGAAAGTACTTTAGTCAATCATTCATTCATTCATTCATTCATTTTCCTTCGGCTTAGTCCTTTATATATCAGGGGTCACCACAGCGGAATGAACCGCCAACTACCAGCATATGTTTTAAGCAGCTGATGCCCTTCCAGCTGCAACCCAGTACTGGAAAACACCCATACACAACCATCCACACATACTCATACACTATCCGCAATTTAGTTAATAATCCCCCTATAGCGCATGTGTTTGGACTGTGGGGGAAACAGGATCACCCAGAGGAAACTCACGCCAACATGGGGAGAACATGCAAACTCAGAAATGCCAACACATCCCACACAGAAATGCCAACTGACCCAGCCGGGACTCGAACCAGCAACCTACTTGCTGTAAGGCCACAGTGCTAACCACTGAGCCACCGTGCCGCCTCACTTCAGGTTATTGACAATTGAATATTGTTAGTTTTGATAATGCAGATAGAGAGCCAAAGTGACCATCATTAACCCAAACTAAAACATAAATAATGTTATGTTTTAAAATAAATAAAAGGTTAAAAAAAACAATTAAAGCAATTAATTTCTCATCTGTCCATTAATCCTTTTTCATTTCTCTATATAAAAACAACACAAAAGTAAAAATTTATTTAATTACTTAAATCAGTAATATTAATACAAATAATTTTAAATTAAATATTTGTATAAGCAAGTGTATATCCAGGGCCGACGCGTCCATAGAGGCGACGTAGGCGGCTGCCTAGGGCGGCAGAATAGAGAGGGTGGCATCCCCGACACTACCCTCACCACCTACGACCTCAGTTATATTCGCGTCTAGTGCGGTAGTATGGAGAGGGCGGCGTCCCCGACACTACCCTCACCACCCGCGCCCTCAGTTACATCCGCTTGTAGGGCGGCAGAATAAAAGGGGAGCGTCCCCAACACTACCTACCACGCCCTCAGTTATATCCGCCTCTAGTGCGGTAGAATGGAGAGGGCGCTGTCCCTGACACTACCCTCACCACCCGCGCCCTCAGTTATATCCGCGGCGCCCCAACCCCCCGCTTTCACGTTAGGGTTGAGGGCGGCGTGACCGTCCTTTGCCTAGAGCGGCAGTTCAGCTTGCCCTGGCCCTGTGTATATCAAATACTTCATTTCAGTCCAGGGTCTTAATTTGATTCTTGATTCAATTCAGTCAATTGATTGATTCAATAATTGATTGAATTCAGTCTACAGAGTGTGAGCCAATAAATCAAAACAAGTTTGACTTTTTGATTGGATTAAACAAATTATAAAACTTTTACTAATTAAAATTAAATCAGAAACCTGGACAACAACCTGAAATAAAATAAGTGTTAAAATGATACAACTAAAATCACTATAAATCTCAATAAAATAAAAACTACAGCTTACACTAAAATTAATCTCTTAACTGTAACCAAAATAACACTAAACAGAACTTTATTTGGATTTTATTTTAATGGCTAAAAATCATATTTATGGCTGATGATGTTCTTTAGGTGCTTAAACCGTAGGTTCAGCTCAGTGAGCACTATGTAGTGAATGACCTGGAAGTCGTGAGGTGAATGAGGGCGTTGAACCTGCTCCAGTACCAGCGTCCAGATCCTCCTCAACATCCAGGTTTTCCTCTTCACCTGGGGCAAGAATCTTCCTAAAAGCACACACAATCCATCATCCATCACTGTAAGCGCATAACATCAGCACTAAAACAGAGACAAAGCCTATTAGAATAAAGCTCACACTTTACAGTATTGCATATTAATATGTATAATAGTAATAGTATTGATACATTAGTTGCCACTAGTGGACCTATTACGCAAAAATCGCTCTTATAAGGGGAATAAGCAGAATAAAATAAGAAAGATGAATTAATGATGTTGTTTATAATCAGACTTGACTCATTAGCATAAACAGCAGCCCTGAGTGAGAAGCAGCCGTCTGACCATTAACCATTAGAGCGTTTGAGCTGCTGAAGATAATGTCACCATAAACTAAGAGGATTATAAATGCATAATAAAATAAACATATTAAATATTAATATTAATGCACACTAATATTCTGTGTGTAACAACAACCTTTAAATCACTTTATATCAGGGTATCTGCAGGGTCTTCAAAAGCCAAATTTTAGGCTGTAAAAAGTCTTAAATCCACTGAAATATAGTGTTGTAGCTCTTAAATCATTTTAAACGGGTCTTAATTTTCTTCTATGCGCATTTGAAGCTATACCCATCCAATCATTAACAATATATGTCAATAAAAGTTTTAAGAAACGTTTATTTATTAACTTTTTACTTATTAATATGGTTTAATTATCCTCCTTACATTAACACTTGTTTTTAAGTTTTTTTTAGGTTTTAACTTGGCTATTAAATAAATCTTTAGCGTTTAGCCTTGTGTAAGACTGAAATTTGATTTATTAGGGTCTCTAAAAGGTCTTAAAAAGTCTTAAATTTGACTTGATGAAACCTGTAGAAACCCTATATATATATATATATATACACAGTTGAAGTCAAAATTATTAGCCCCCTTCGATTTTTTTTTCTTCTTTTTTAAATATTTTCCAAAAGATATTTAACAGAGCAAGGACATTTTCACAGTATGTCTGATAATATTTTTTTCTTCTGGATAAAGTCTTATTTGTTTTATTTCGGCTAGAATAAAAGCAGTTTTAAATTTTTTATGTACCATTTTAGGGACAAAATTATAAGCCCCTTTAAGCTAAATATTTTTTCTCGATAATCTACAGAACAAACCACTGTTATACAATAACTTGCCTAATTCCCTTAACCTGCCTAGTTAACTTAATTAACCTAATTAAGCCTTTAAATGTCACTTTAAGCTGTATAGAAGTGTCTTAAAAATATCTGTGTTAAAAATATCTTAATAGTGTGTGTGTGTGTGTGTGTGTGTGTGTGTGTGTGTATATATATATATATATATATATATATATATATATATATATATATATATATATATATATATATATATATATATATATATATATATATATATATATATATATATATATAAATAAAAGAAATCAATAATGAATTACCTCAAAGGCACTGGTTGGACATCAAAAGGGAAATCTTTGTTGTAGGTCAGAATATTCTTAATAACTGCAGAGAAACAGATCATTAGCAGGTATGAACTATTTATTAAGCTATCTTATAAGCAATATTGTACTTTTAAATGAGTTTTAAACAGCCAAAAAGAGTAAAGTATCAATATAAAAGTATAATAATATAATAATTTTGTGTATCAGACGCAAAATAGAGCATGAAGTAGATACTGTGCAACAGGTTTTCATCAAAAGACTGAAATTCTTGAATCAAATATGATATTTATAGGGTTAATCTCAATCATAGGTGGATATTAATATACATACTGGGTTCCAGTTTTTTCAGGTCTTCTAGCTTGAACTCCTCTTGAGATTGTGTGCACTAAACAAACAGCAAATTCACAATTTATATGATATCCTCAGTTCATAATGTTCATAATCGGTGTTCATAATGTGAAATAATGCACTGCGGTGGCGCCATTTTAATAGTGTCTTCGATTTATTCAGTTTGTTTGTCCATGCAAAAGATGTTGTGATTGGTTTTTCAAGGTGTTACTAGATCAAAACCCAAAACAGTGATCATTTCCTCATCCTCCACTTTTTTCAAAAGCTGTTTGAGTTTCTTTCTTCTGTCAAACAAAGGAAGCTACACGGAATAATAATAAAAATACATTTTATTTAAAGGCGCCTTACTAACAACAAGGACGCCATACAGTAAAACAAGAGCAATAAAACAACATAAAAATATATACACAACATAGTGCATATACAATTCCGTATTAAAAGCCATCTTAAATAAGTGGGTTTTGAGTTTTGATTTGAATAATGTAAGAGTCAGATTTTCTGATGGCAGGTGGTAGTGAGTTCCAAAGCTGGAGAGCAGAGCGGCTGAATGCTCTATTGCCCATAGACGAGCAGAGGGAACAGACAAGTTGAGGGAGGAAGAAGCAATGTGGATGAGGGCAGACAAATATGGAGGGGCAAGATTGTGGATGGCTTTGAATGTTATCATCAAAATTTTTAAATCAATTGGAAAATGAACAGGTAACCAGTGAAGCTGCTGCAGGACAGGGGTGATGTGATGAGAAGAAGGGGTTCTGGCGATGATACGGCCAGAGTTCTGGACCAACTGAAGCTTACGGATGGGTTTATGAGTTTGACCAAAGAGAAGAGAGTTGTAGAAATTGAAACGAGATGTGACAAGGCTATGGACGAGAACAGCAGTGGCATGAGGGGTAAGAGAAGGGCGGAGATGATTAATGTTGCAGTAAGCAGACCGGGATGTAAGAATCAAAAGACAGGGTGCTATCAAGGATGACACCCAGACTCTTGACCTGTTTAGAGGGTTAAGTGGAACAGCCGCCAATAGTTTTGGAGAGCGTTGATTTGGTACCAACAAGCAAAACCTCAGTTTTTAAGCTGTTTAATTTGAGAAAGTTAAGAGAGAGACGAGATTTGATTTCTGCTAAGCAGACTGTAAGGGATGAAGGTGGGTAAACAAGATGAGGGTTTGGCAGAGATAGAACTAGGTGTCATCCGCATAGCAGTGGAACTGTATGTTATATTTACAAAGAATATTACCAAGGGGAAGGAGATAGATGATAAAAAGCAGGGGCCCAGGACTAAGCCCTGGGGTACACCCGAAAAAAATGTAAAATGCTGAGAAGCGAATGATTTGAGTTGAATGAACTGGCCAGAGAGATAAGATTTGAACCAGTCAAGTGGGATATAGGTAATGCCAAGAGAAGAAAGTCTATTGATGAGGGTGCTGTGACGAATAGTGTCAAAGGCCGCACTCAGGTCGAGGAGAATGAGAATAGATATTAGTCCAGAATCAGCTGCCAAAAGAAGAGTGCTTAAAAAAAACAGCAATTGAGGTACATTTTGTTCCTACTATGGGCTGCTACTATCATTCTTCAGAATATCTAGTTTTGTAGTTTTGACAGAAGAAAGAAATTCACTAAAGTTTAGAAGTGAGAGTAAATGATGAGAAATTGTTTATGTTTGGGTGAACTGTCCCTTTAACTCTAATCTCATTGTGTCTGTGTTTAGATTCACTCATTACAAGACTGACCTGTAAGGCTGCACTTCGCATTTCAAGGCATGTGGCAAACTTTCCCAAGGTTTTCTTGAAAAAAAAAAAAAAATATTAGCAGATCTAAAATTATCTCAACAAAAACACAAAAAAACTATAAGTCTTATTCAAGCAACATTTGTATATATAGCAGGCCAGTAAATTCCTATTCATTTAAAATTTGGAGTGTAGCATAGATACACGGCCTTACTTAAAACTCTCTACCAGATTCACTAAACACTTCGTAAACATCAGATTTAAGATTTCATAAACAAATGCATGTTAAAGTCCACATAAAATCAAAATAACAGTGTTTACTTTGCTTACGCACATTAATAGCCTTGAAAAATTAATCTGTGCAAGTTAATCCACTGAAAAAAATAGTGTGTGTTGGTAATCTTAAATCTTCTGCTTCTGGAACAGCAGTCCTTCTCTGATTGGTTGAAATATACATAGCCACACCTATGAAGGTAAATCAGTAGCAAACCTTGAGAGCTTCAATAATGAACAGTTCTGCAAATTTACCTCAGCACTTTATTCCAGTTTTGCTGTAACACAGGGGTCACCAATCTCGGTCCTGGTGTCCGTGCAGGGTTTAGCTCCAACTTGCCTCAACACACCTGCCTGGGTGTTTCAAGTATACCTTGTAACACCTTGGTTAGCCTGTTCAGGTGTGTTTGATTAGAGTTAAAGCTGAAATCTGCAGGACACCGGCCCTTCAGGAACAAGTTTGGTGACCCCTGCTGTACAACCTCAAGTCGGCACTCACAACCTCTCCGATTTCGCTCTACATGTGCAAATCCCGCTGCTCTCACATTTGCTGCACATTTTGCAAGATTCCTGTAGCAGAACTTCTACAGAAATGTATTTACCAGTAAAAGAGCAGCAAAGTTGGTTTACTGGCTAGAGTCAGCAATCCGAGAGTAAGTTTTAGTTTTTAGTAATTATTTATACCTTTAATACCGTGTCTTGATTATTGTCTGCGTGTGCAAATCAAGAGATTCAGCCTTTCACGTCAGAGCTGCGAGTGCAAATTTCAACCAACACTAGGCTTGGGTGGTAATACAGTATATCGCGGGATCTAAAAATAGCAACTGTTTCAGTTTCAATACCGGTATACCGTCATAAAAAACAATGCACTTATATAGGAGACAAGTATTAAATATTATTTATTTAATGCCTACAAATGCGTACGCGTGATTGTTATCTAGGGACAATGTGGCGAGTCGCGCACCAAGTGACCTGCAGTTTGGCAGTATTTCCAGTTTCGACCGAACAAGAAGGGAGCTGTGGTAAATACGAACTAGAGGTCTGCATTCTTGCGGTGCGGGAATAAATTTCCAAATAAAGCGCGGGAGCGGTCGGTAACTCTGGTGTAATTTGAAAGGGAGCGGGCGCGCGGTCTAGCAATATCGCTCCCGAGCGAGCGAGCACACGCGCATACGGGTGTGTGAGAGAGAGAGAGAGAGAGCACAGTGCTGTGTGTTGCTTGGTGCTGTCTCTCTCTCTTTCTCTGTGTGTGTGTATGTGTGTGTGTGTGTGTGTGTGTGTGTACGGGTTTTTGTGACATATCAGGACACAAATCTGTATGACATCGGTATGACACAGGTATTACTAAAAGGAGGTGAAATATGAGGACATTGGTGACGTCCTCATTTCTCAAAAAGCTTATAAATCCTACAGAATGAGTTTAATCAGAGAGTAAAGCTGCACACAGTCTCCTGTGATGGTTGGGTTTAGGGGTGGGGTGAGGGCAATATAATATACGGTTTTGACAGTATAAAATAAATAGTAAACCTATGTAATGTCCCCACATTTCACAAAAACAAACGTGTGTGTGTGCGTGCGTGTAAATGAGAGAGAGCATCCTGCGCAGATCTCTAATACGAACAAGACAAACAGGTGACCGTGAAGGTTGCATATACGGTTTTCAGTTTATGAATGGTTTAGGCACAAGCCAACAGTTTGGTGACGCTGTTTGAGTTTTACGTCATAATTTTTTTTATTATGCACGGTAATACCGGATACCGGGGTAAAATAGAGAGGAGGTTTGACTGTATCAAAATTTGGATACCACACAAGTCTATCCTACACATTAAAATATTGTTAACATAAGTCCTCATATTTAGATTTGTAAGCTCTCAAGGTTTGCTACTGATTTACCTTAATACACCTCTCAAATCGTTAGTTTGCCAAGAGAGAAAGATGATTGGAAGAGCTCCCTACTTAATATTCTACAAACTTGTATAAAACAAAAATACAAACAGTTTCATAATTATAAAAGTTACATCAGAACAGCTTTATCTCATAAATGAGGCCCAAGATTGTGACAATTCTGTGTGTGTGTGAGTGTGTGTGTGTGTAAAATGCTTCAAAATGCAAGTGGTGCTCACTGCAGAGCCAATTGGGCAGAGCTGAGCTCTAGAAAGGGGGAGCTTGAGCTCTAGCTCCTCCTTCCTTGCACTTCTTCAACAAGTGATGTCACTGGGGGTTGGGGTTAGGGGTGGTGTGTATATATGCATTAAAACAGCTTATAGGAGGAGGAGTTGGAGCTCAAGCTCCCCCTCGCTGGAGCTCAAGTGGCTCTGCAGCGAGCAGTGTCTCTCAAAATGTGCCCTTTTGATTCCTTGAAATGTGACTGACAGCTGTCAATCAAACATACATACCTTCTGCTCCTCTGTAAAATCGTGCGAGTTTGAAGACTGCACTTCTTTCTGGAGCTGCCTGGCGAGTCTGACGAAACATCACATTATTAATTAACCACTGAATGTGCTTTATATTTAATTATTAGTTTTTTTGCAATGCAAGTTACAAGTTAAAACACTAGAAATAATCAAAGCAACAAAATAAACATATGTAATAGGGCTGCATGATATTGGAAACAACACAGACATTGTGATATTTAGTTTTTCTGCGATATATATTGCAATATGAATGTTATTTAACAAGATGACTTATTCATTCATTCATTCATTCATTTTCCTTCAGCTAAGTTCCTTATTTATCTGGGGTCACCACAGTGGAATGAACCACCAACTATTCCATATGTTTTACGCAGCGGATGCCCTTCTAGCCGCAACCCATTACTACGAAACACCCATACACACTCATTCTCACACACACTCATACACTACGGCCAATTTAGTTCATCCAATTCACCTATAGCTCATGTGTTTGGATGGGGAGAACTTGCAAACTCCACACAGAAGTGCCAACTGAATTTGCATAAAAATAATAATCAAATTACAAACATAAATTGAAGGAATGATGGTTTTCTGGAAAGAATTGAGTTACAAAAATATAATAATCAAATGTAAAATTACACTTTATACAGTAAAGGTTGTCCTGAAACTATTCAACACCCATTCTAGACCATTATGAAACTTTTTTTTTGATCCACTTCAAATGTTGACTACTATATTCTTCATTGCAGAAATAAATACAATTAATATTTGTTAAAGCTACATATTTGATCATTTTTAGTGCCCAACAGGTTAAAATTCACTTCAAATCTTACAGTCACAGACCTTAAAATATATTTCACACTATTAGGGTTAATCTTTGCATGTGTTCTGAAGTGTGTTTTCTGGCTAATATAATCCCAACCTAACATTGCAGATTTGCACAATACGATATCGATGCTGAAGCAATATAATTTGCAGCCCTAATATCAGGGTGTTGACGGGGTCTTATAAATTCTTAAATCTTAAAAGCTACATTTTAGGCCTTAAATCTACTGAAATGTTATGTTGTATATCCGAAATCTTTTTTAACAGGTTTTAATGTTCCTGTGTTCATGTATAGCTACCCAATCTGGGGTGCGTTTCCGAAAACCATCGTTAGCCAAGGAAGGTCGCAAATTGTGTCGTTACAAACATAGTTAATTATTTGGCGTTTCCCAAATCCGTCGTTCCAACGAACGTAAGCAAACTTGTAAACTTGTGCACTTGCAACTACACCTCTAGAGCTGTAGTTAGAAACATAGTTCCTGGCTGTGTTCTATATCTTAATATTTAAATAAATAAATTAATAAAAAGCAGCCACTAAATTATTGTGGATTGATTGGTGCGACCAACATAGCTGATTCACTGCCCCTCCCCCTTCCTGATCGCTGTTGACAGCACGCACACACCTTCAACAGACAGCAATGGCAATTTTTTAGGAAACAACAACGGGTACGTGTGTCATACATTTATGTCTTCGCTAAGTAACTTTCTAGTTAAATACTAAACATATAACGTTACTTACCAGGCTTAAAATTTTCAAGGCTCATCAAAGTTCTTGTAACATAATTTGTTTAGTATTGTTTGATGACGAGGGACGAAACATGACTGGGTTCATGAGATTCTACACTTTTATGAAGAAATTAATTAATTCATTTATTTTATTTTCGGCTTGGTTCCTTTATTAATCCGGGGTCGCCACAGCAGAATGAACCGCCAACTTATCCAGCATGTTTTTACGCAGTTTTTACATCCACACACACTCATTCACACACACACACACTCATACACTACGGACAATTTAACCTACCCAATTCACCTGTACCGCATGTCTTTGGACTGTGGGGGAAACCGGAGCACCCGGAGGAAACCCACGCGAACGCAGGGAGAACATGCAAACTCCACACAGAAACGCCAACTGAGCTATGAAGAAATTATTATTTTTAAAATGAAAAATTGTGTTTTATCACATTGAAAACCACAAAACCCCCCCCAAAATAAATGCATTAAATCAGCTTTTCAGAATCTAGTTTGTTTGGCACCGCAATTCTTTGGCTGGTTGACTTACAAGGGTCAAAAATCTCAATGCTTTAGTAGGGTAATCAATAGAAGAAGCTGTATTGATAATATTGTTGCTCAAAAAGGGTCTGTATAGTGAGTGTATAGTGAACGCCTTTTGCTCAGGTTGTTATTAATTAAGGCGAGGCAGTGGCGCAGTAGGTAGTGCTGTCGCCTCACAGCAAGAAGGTCGCTGGTTCGAACTTCGGCTCAGTTGGCATTTCTATGTGGAGTTTGCATGTTCTCCCTGCCTTCGCGTGGGTTTCCTCTGGGTGCTCCGGTTTCCCCCACAGTCCAAAGACATGCGGCACAGGTGAATTGGGTTGGCTAAATTGTCCATAGTGTACGAGTGTGTGTGAATGTGTGTGTGGATGTTTCCCAGAGATGGGTTGCGGCTGGAAGGGCATCCGCTGCGTGAAAACTTGCTGGATAAGTTGGCGGTTCATTCCGCTGTGGCGACCCCCGATTAATAAAGGGACTAAGCAAGAAAATGAATGAATGAATGTTATTAATTTATCCTCATTATTTAAAAAAATAATATATAGTAATAATATTTAGTAATAGTTAGTAATAATTGTAAGAGTAATTCATTAAAACAGCATTATTTAATTTACTAAAAACAAAAATATAACATTATACACCCTAAGATTTGGTGTTGCCTCATCTGGCCACCCCGAAGAAAATTTTCTGAATATTATAGGTGGCGCGGTGGCTCAGTGGTTAGCACTGTTGCCTCACAGCAAGGTCAGTTTTTGAGTCCAGGCTGGGCCAGTTGCCATTTCTGTGTGGAGATTGCATGTTTTCCCTGTGTTGGCGTGGGTTTCCTCCGGTTTCCGGCCTAAAACTAAATTGGCGGTAGTGTATGAGTGTGTGAGAATGAGTGTGTATAGGTGTTTCCCAATACTCAGTTGCAGCTGTAAGGGCATCAGCTGATTAAAACATATGCTGGAATAGTTGGCGGTTCACTTTGAACCTAGATATAAAAGGGACTGAATGAAAATATTATATTTTTTAAAAAATCAATAAAATATATATAATAATGGTTACAGTTTTTCAGCTTTCATCACAATGTCTTCATTTGTGCTTGAGAGCAAAAGGAACGTAACCACTTAAAGGAGATTAGCCTGAAAAATATTGAGTACGTTTTAATTTTTGGGTGAACTAGCCCTTTAAGACTGACAGAATAATGGGAGATTTCAGGAAAAGTGACCTAAATGGCAGCAAACCAGACAGTAAACTCCACCCAGAGCTAGAGGGTGTGGCGCTCAACATAACGCCAACAGGCTGTCAAACACTGCACGTCTTCATGTATTGATTTATTTACTCCCTCAGACATGCATAAACACAATAAAGCAGAGAAACGCAAACATCAAACCACAATGCGCTCTTATTATAGCAAACAAACGTGCAACTTTCAGCATCTGCGATCCCTTAGTTATCATGTAATCAATGAGTTCTGTTTGTTTTGTATTCTAGTTAAATCTAATCAGCTCTAAACTCTCTGGATCATCTCTAGACATTATTTTTCATCATAAATGCGCGACTTACATTTGATATTCATCGATGGCTTCCACCAGCTGCCCCCACGAATCAAAGTCCGTGCCTTTTTTAAAGCTGGCGTGCCATTTCTGCACGGTCTTGTTGACATCTGACATCTTCTCGGGTTAAGTGTGACTCTAAAAGTGCTGTCTGACATCTCCGGCGAGTTTCAGTCCTAGTTTTATCTCCAGCAGCGCCGCATTGTTGCGCTCGGCCGGGGAAACGCACGCACTGGGCTCCGGATGCTCCGGTGGCACCGACGCAGGCCTGCTGCGAGTGCAACCGAACTACCTGTGGCTCTACCGGAAGCGCCCACCCAGAACGTTTTCAAAATAAAAGTCTTAAGCTTTGAACGGACGCTACAGTGTAATCTCAATCGTTTATTAGCACTCATTTTGATCTTTGAATCTTCCTTATTATTGCATTTTCTGAGAACACACCGTCAGTGAGTCTGTTTAACATGTTTATTCTTTTATTTTCAATTGAATTCATCTGTATTTCTACAGCGCTTTTACAATGTAGATTGTGTCAAAGCAGCTCCACATAGAAGTTTTAGTAAATGTAAACTGTGTAAGTCCAGTTTTCAGAGTTGAAGTTCAGTTTAGTTTAGTTTAGTTCAGTCAGTTTGGTTTAATTTTCACTACTGAAAGTCCAAACACTGAAGAGCAAATCCAGCGATGCACAGCTCCACAAGTCCCAAACAATGCAAGCCAGTGGAGCGACAGTAGAGGAACAAACTTCACCGATTGACCTGAGTGAAGGAAAAACCTTGAGAGAAACCAGGCTCAGTTGGGCACAACCATTTCTCCTCTGGCAAAACTTCTTGTGCAGAGCTGCAGTCAAGGTGCCGGAAGCTGGAGAACGCTGGACGTCCATCATGGAGAAGCTACAGGTGTGAGTAGGTCAAGACTGACTATATTAAAATAAGGTCATTTCCAATTCAGTTTCTACTGACACTATCACGTCTTTTTTTAAGAGAACAGCTGCTGTAGAACTTCAAATGTTCAACAACCTTAATGGTATTGTATGTCTTAACAATAAAAATGAAAAAAATTACATACTCAGACGAGGATCGGCGGCGTCGTAATCTAACGTGCTAACCACTGGACCACAACAGTTGTATAGTGAGATGTGACTCATCTTAGTTATATCATGATTAACCTGCAGGCTGGTTATAGATAAAAAGAGCAGAACTGCGGTAAAATAGTGAATGAGAAGACTGTGGTCAAGTAAATAAATAAATTAATTTAAAAAGTGTGACTGCTGAGAACAACAGATTCTGGAGCTAGGGAAATCGGCCCTCGTGGCCAAAAAAACGGACCGGCCCACCGGGAATTCTTCCGGTCCTCCCGAATAGCCAATCAGGGCCTGTTCTGACCTATGGGATCAACATGGAGACTCGTCTGTCACTGGGGTCTTTCAGGAATCAGTCTCATGCTCTCCACTTCTCCATGACCACTATGGCATCTGCTCAGGATACGGCCTGGTCCAGGATTATGGAGACCTCTAGAAGTCCTCTATGGATGCCATCTTCTCTTCGCAGGTCACAATCTCTAGAGGCCTCAGGATGATTATCCCCGTATGGAAATAGGGAACAAAGAAGATTTTCTGAGAATGCAATGATCGGTGTGTCATCTCTTGCTTTTGCTCTAAAGTTCTTGTATTGTCAGTTCAAACGATAAAAAATAAAGCGAATCAATGCCCATTCTCCAAGTATTTCGGTTAAAAAGTTACTATTTTTGTTTTCTTAATGCTGTAACAAAATGATAGAATCTATAATTTATGTTTCAGATGATCCTTCTAAAGAAAGCATTAAAGTCAATACAGCAAGGAGGTCAGTAAATATTCATTCATTCATTTTCATTTCGGCTTAGTCCCATTATCAATCCGGAGACACCACAGCGCACTGAACCGCTAACCCATCCAGCATGTTTTTTTACGCAGCGGATGCCCTTCCAACTGCAAACCATCCCTTGGAAACATCCACACACACCCATTCACACTCATACACTAAGGACAGTTTAGCTTACCCAATTCACCTGTACCACATGTCTTTAGACTGTGGGGGAAACCGGAGCACCCAGAGGAAACCCGCAGTCTAAACACATGCGCTATAGGTAAATTGATTAACTCAATTGGCTCCGGTGTATGTTTGAGAATGAGGGTGAATGAGTGTTTTCCCAGTGATGGGTTGCAGCTGGAAGGGCATCTGCAGTGTAAAAAATGTGCTGGATAAGTTGGTGGTTCATTCCGCTGTGGCGACCCCGGATTTACAAAGAGACTAAGCGGACAAGAAAATGAATTAATTTATTTACAGGTAATATAATAAAAAAACACACCTTTACATTTTATTTAGAATTCCCCCTTATCATGAATAGTAATAAAACTGAGTAGTATGGGCATTTATTCGTTTATTTAAAGTTTTAAATTTCATTTAGCAAAAAAACTAAAAATTCATTATTGAAATAAAAAAATTTAAAATAAAAATATTCGTTTGGGAAAAAAAAGATATTTTGTGTGTGTGTGTGTGTGTGTGTGTGTGTGTGTGTGTGTGTGTGTTTGTGTGTTTATCATCTTTGCATAATGACTTGTCTATATTTTATTTTTTATCCTAGATTAAACAAACCAAAAAAATCTATAAGCAAATTCTGTGACCGTATTCTTTCGACATTTCGCCTCTACCTGCATATACAAAACATTTTATTACATATATAAGTTATAATCGCTACTAAAACAAACATGCAGCTAAGTAATGATGCATGCTGCACGTTTTTTATTTATTTATTTATTTTTATTTTAGGCTTTGAACCATTACATAAAGTAATAATGCAAACTCAGATATAAGCTATATCCAGGAACATTACAGGAATTGCAAAAACACTACAAGAAATGATAATGAAGCAAAAAACATAACAGGTGTTTGGGGGGGGGGGGGGAGATAAAAAAAGAGTATAAAAAAATACTATGAAAAATAAATATACATATACATACACACACATATTTACATACTGTATGCATTCCGCGCGTTCAAAGTAAATGGGCGTACGCGCGTGACGTCATCGCAGAGCACACGTCATACCGGAAGAGCGTTCATTGTTTTGGCGTTTCCTTATACACATACATCTTTTGGAGTATCGCCGATTAAAAACAACAAACATCTTGACAGTCGACACGTTTCTGGTATAAAAACACTTCTGTTTCTCTTAAATCAAGCGTTAGGGGTCTGTTGGTGGATTTAGGTCTGTAACTGCTGTCGTGAACAGCGAGTCTCTGGTTCAGTTGGTTTCTCTCAGTTTGTATTCGGGTTGTAAACAAGTCTAAGATCACAAATCGGTGTTTTTATATGTAGACAATTAAGCTTTAGGAGTAGAGGATTTTAGGTAATGTATTGGTATAGGTATGATATTGTACTAACAGATTTGTTGATAAACAAGGTCGAGATGTTAAATAATGATGATAAATAATCAGTATTTTTCAGCCTATTTACATAATTGTAATTATTATTAAACTGTTTCTGTTGTAATTAGGCGATTAAGCTTTAAGAGGAGTTGATTTTTGAGTCATATGTTGGGTTCTGTGTGTGATAAACAAGGGTGAGATCAATTGAACAATATTTTTTAGTCTATTTACGCATTTTATATTATAATTAAACATTTTCTGTTGTAATTAAACGATAAAGTATGAATAGTAGCTGATTTATAAGTAATGCGTTGGTCTTTGTACGATAGATTTGTTGATAAAGGAGATGAAAAAAATGGATCAGTATTTTTCAGTCTACATAATTTCTGCTTTAATTAAACTCTTCTATTAATAGTAGCTGATTTTTAAGTAATGTATTAATCTGTGTATGAAATTTTATGTCATATATTTGTTGATAAGGCTAAGATAAATAAATGGATCAGTATTTTCAATCTATTTACATAATTCCTATTATAATTAAACTGTTTCTCTTGCTATTAAATGATAAAGCTTTAATAGTAGCTGATTTTTAAGTAATTTATTAGTCTGTGTATGATTTTATTGACAGATTTGTTGAGAAACAACTAGGCACAGATAAACAAATGGATCAGTATTTTTCAGTTTATTTACATAATTTCTATTATAATCAAACTGTTTCTGTTTAATTAATCAATAAGGCTTTAATAGTAGCTGATTTTTAAGTAATGTATTGTCTGTGTATGATTTTTTACATTATAGATTTGTTGATAAGGCCGAGATAACCTAATGGATTAGTATTTTTCAGTTTATTTACATAATTTCTGTTATAATTAAACTGTTTCTATTGTAATTAAACAATAAAATATTAATAGTAGCTGATTTTAAGTAATTTATTAGTCTGTGTATGATTTTTTGTGTCGTAGATCTGTTGATAAGGCCAAGATAAATAAATGGATCAGTATTTTTCAGTTTATTTACATAATTTCTATTATAATCAAACTGTTTCTGTTGTAATTAAGGATAAAGCATGAATAGTAGCTCATTTTTAAGTAATGTATTGTCTGTGTATGATAGATTTGTTGATAAACAAGGCTAAGATAAATTTAACATTATTTTCAGTCTATTTACATAATTTCTATTATAATTAAACCGCTTCTGTTGCTATTAAAGGATAAAACCTTAATATTTGCTGACTTTTAGGTAATTTATTATTCTGTGTATGTTTTTTGCGTCATAGATTTCTTGATTTGGCCGATTTAAATAAATGAATCAGTATTTTTAGTCAAATGACGCCTTGATTTTTAAATTTTTTTTTTTACAGAATTTCTATTATAAATAAACGGTTTCTGTTGTACTTAAATGATAAAGCTTTAACTGTAGCTGATTTTTAAGTAATATGTTGGTCTGTATGTTTTTTTTACTGAAATATTTGTTGATAAACAAGGGGCTGAGATAAATGAATGCATTGATTTGTTAGTCAAATGATGTCTTGATTTTGTTTTTACATAATTTCTGTTATGATTAAACTATTAATAAAATTACTGTGAGGACTGATGTGTTGTTAGGACTAAATATTAATAGACATTAAATGTGCTTATTTTATTTACTTCATATAACTAGTCTATCAATCACAACCATTAAATAAATTACAATCTCATTGTCAAAATGTACATGATATATTTGTGCAAATAAGTGCATATAACCGGTTGCTCAAGATGGACAGGATTAGACGTGTCGATATTCAATAATAAAATATTGGGATAATGATATTGTTAGTGCTTAAAATACTGTGAATAATTAATTCTACTTTAAAAATGTCTTTTAATAATATGTATGTAGATTGCTGTATTTGTTGTGGTTGTCACTTAATAGGCTGTTTATGATTTTTTTTACATTAGTAAGTGCTTGTGTAGTTGTCATTACACTGATTTTAGTTAAAATAACTTTTGTCAGCAAATGTATTCTTACTGTACAGAGTTAACAAACAAAATAAATATAGTCAGAGAATTGTCAATGTCGTAAGCCAGATAAACATGAAAATGTTTGACTGTAAGTCTTCATCCAGTTGCTTTTGTGATTAACATCCACTAATCCTGATGGTGTTCTATGCTAGTTTTTAACAGCAGTTGTCGCTCTAGGCTAGCGTTTAACAGCAGACAGCGCTAGTCTGTAATGGTTCTCTAAGCTAATTTTTAAACAGCGGACAGCACTTTAGGCTCGTTTTTAACAGCAGGTGGAGCTCTAAGCTTGTTTTTAGCATTCTTAGTTAGTTCTAAGGCAGTTTTAAGTAAGTTTTAAACAGTAGACAGCGCTCTAGGCTGTTTTTTTAACAGCAGACGGCACTCTAGGTTAGTTTTTAACAGCAGATGGCACTCTAGGTTAGTTTTTAACAGCAGATGGCACTCTAGGTTAGTTTTTAACAGCAGACGGCACTCTAGGTTAGTTTTTAACAGCAGAAGGCACTCTAGGTTAGTTTTTAACAGCAGATGGCACGTTTTTAACAGCAGAAGGCACTCTAGGCTAGTTTTTAACAGCAGACGGCACTCTAGGTTAGTTTTTAACAGCAGACGGCACTCTAGGTTAGTTTTTAACAGCAGACGGCACTCTAGATTAGTTTTTAACAGCAGATGGCACTCTAGGTTAGTTTTTAACAGCAGATGGCACTCTAGGTTAGTTTTTAACAGCAGACGGCACTCTAGGTTAGTTTTTAACAGCAGATGGCACTCTTGGTTAGTTTTTAACAGCAGACAGCACTCTAGGCTAGTTTTTAACAGCAGATGGCACTCTAGGTTAGTTTTTAATAGCAAACGGCACTCTAGGCTAGTTTTTAGCAGCATATGGCACTCTAGGTTAGTTTTTAACAGCAGATGGCACTCTAGGTTAGTTTTTAACAGCAGACAGCACTCTAGGCTAGTTTTTAACAGCAGATGGCACTCTAGGTTAGTTTTTAACAGCAAACGGCACTCTAGGCTAGTTTTTAAACACCTGATGTTGCTGTTGGTTAGTTTTTAAACAGTAGATAGAGCTCTATGTTAGTTTTTAACAGCAGATGGCATTCTAGGCTAGTTTTTAACCACAGATGGCGCTCTAGGCTAGTTTTTAACCACCAGATATTGCTCTAAGCTAGTTTTTAAATAACAGATGTTGCTCAAGTTTAGTTTTTAAACACCAAATGTTGCTCCAGGTTAGTTTTTAAACACCAAATGTTGCTCTAGGTTAGTTTTTAAACACCAAATGTTGCTCTAGGTTAGTTTTTAAACACCAGATGTTGCTCTAGGTAGTTTATAAACATCAGATGGCGCTCTAGGCTAGTTTTTAAACTCCAGATATTGCTTTAGGCTAGTTTTTAAATAACAGATGTTGCTCAAGTTTAGTTTTTAAACAGCAGATGTTGCTCTAGGTTAGTTTTTAAACACCAGATATTGCTCTAGGTTAGTTTTTAAACAGCAAATGGTGCTGTAGTCTAGTTTTTAAACACCAGATGTTGCTCTAGGTTAGTTTGTAAACAGCAGATGGCGCTCTAGGCTAGTCTTTTAACTCCAGATGTTGCTCTAGGTAGTTTTTAAACATCAGATGGCACTCTAGGCTAGTTTTTTTTAACTCCAGATATTGCTCTAGGCTAGTTTTTAAGCAACAAATGTTGCTCAAGTTTAGTTTTTAAACAGCAGATGTTGCTCTAGGTTAGTTTTTAAACACCAGATATTGCTCTAGGTTAGTTATTAAACAGCAGATGGCGCTCTAGTCTAGTTTTTTAACACCAGATGTTGCTCTAGGTAAGTTTTTAAACAGCAGATGGCGCTCTAGGCTATTTTTTAACTCCAGATGTTGCTCTAGGTAGTTTTTAAACATCAGATGTTGCTCTAGGTAGTTTTTAAACATTAGTTGGGGTTCTAGGCTAGTTTTTTAACTCCAGATGTTGCTCTAAACAGCAAATGGCGCTCTAGGCTAGTTTTTTAACACCAGATGTTGCTCTAGGTAGTTTTTAAACAGCAGATGGCGCTCTGGGTACAATACAACATTTTGAACATTCTTAGAAGGCACTCCAAAATTTTTTAAAATAATTAATAATTATTCACAGTATTTTGAAGTGCCCAAGACATCAATATTGTCGTTATTAATGTATATTAAATTACTGAATACCAATATGTCTAGCTTGCAGTCTGAATAGCTGTTTTTGTGGCTGGTGAGAATTTATTGACCTGCTTTAATGAAACTGAATTAATGAATATTATGTTTGTTGTTCAGGTGTCTGGTCATCATGACTCACTGGTTCCACAGAAACCCTCTGAAAGCCACCGCCCCAGTGTCCTTCAATCTGTATGGCGTGGCATCCAGCCCTGCGGCCAATAAGATCTGCAAGTGAGGGTTTTTTATCTGTTTACTCGGCCTCAGCATATACGGTTGAAGTCAGATTTATTAGCCCTTCTGTTAAATTTTAATTATTTAATATTTTATCCCAATATCTGTTTATCAGACAGTTTTTTTTCAACTCATTTCTAAACATTATAGTTATAATAACTTCTAATAACTGATTTCTTTTATCTTTGCCATGATGACAGCACATAATATTTGACTAGATATTCTTTAAGACTATGTATTCAGATTAAAGTGTAATTTAAACGCCTAACTAGGTTAATTAGGGTAAAGTTAGGATTATTAGGCAAGTCATTGTTTAATAGTGGTTGGTTCTAGAAACAATAAAAAACAAATATTGCTTAAGGGGGCTAATAATATTGATCTTTTATTTTTTAAATGCTTTTATTCCAGCTGAAATAAACAAACAAAACTTTCTCCAGAAGAAAAAATATTAAAGGAAATACTGTGAAAAATTCTTTGCTCTTTTTAACATAATTTGGGAAATATTTGAAAAAGAAAAAATTCACAGGAAGGCAAATCTTTTTGACTTCAGCTGTTTTTCATGAGTATTTCCTTTAAGATCAACATCAATCATCTTTGTTGTCATTCTGCAGGCACAATAAAATGTTGTTCAGCAGCTCTTGGCATAAGGCACACAATACGACATGTAATAAGTATAAAACTAAAAAAGTAAATCTTTAAAGTGACCAGCATGAATATATTGCACATCATACAGTATAAACTAGGTGGATATTTCTATAACATTATATGTTTACAATAATTATGAGGTACAGTTTAGGGAAAAATTATTAGTTAATTAAAATTATTAATTATTAAAATTATTATTGCATGAAAAAATGTTTTCTAGTGATATTTAAAAGAGAGATTCTTTCAACACATTTCTAAACATAATATTTTTAATAACTAATTTCTAATAAATGGTTTATTTTATCTTTGTCATGATGACAGTAAATAATATTTGACTAGATATTGTTTCAAGACACTTCTAAACAGCTTAAAGTGACATTTAAAGGCTTAACTAGGTTAATTAGGCAAGTCTTTCAAAAATTTAAAATTTTTATTTCTAAAGAGGCTAATAATATTGACCACATCAGTATTTGCATTTAAAAAATATATATAATCTATAATAATTTTTTTATTAAAGCCAAATATACAGATATAATACTTTCTCCAAAAGAAAAGTATAGCATAAAAATACTGTAAAATGTTCTTTGCACTGGTAAATTTTGCTTCAGAAATATTTGTTTTGTGGCTGGAAGGGCATCCGCTGCGTAAAAACTTGCTTGATAAGTTGGCGGTTCATTCCGCTGTGGCGACCCCAGATTAACAAAGGGACTAAGCCGACAATAAAATGAATGAATGAATGAAAATGTAAAAAATATTACACATTATGTGTTTCAGTGACCTGCGAACAGCACGCGCTCGACTGCTGGACATGTTCACAGATGCCACATGTTCTCCAGACACCCTGAAGAAATCCAGCGATGAGTATTTTGCTCTTTTACAGGGTTTGTGAATTATCTCCTTTCTTGAGGCTCTTTGAGGGTATTACAGAAAAGGATCTTAGGTCTTAACTCAAGATATGATATGTTCAATTATGTAATGTGAGATGTAAAATAAGTCTCTGATGTCCCTGGAGTTTGTATTTGACGTTTCAGCTCAAAAAGAAAAAAAAAAGAAAAAAGACTGTCACTTTAAATTCAAATGAGATTGTGCTCTTTTCAAATAAGGGCGGAGCTAGAAATACCTGTGTGTCAGAATCTAGACTGATGTTCTATGCTAATGAGGGAGAGATGGTCACTAGTGGGCGGGGCTTTTTTCATTTATAAAGGGAGAATGGCGATCAAAGACTTGTTTTTATCAAGTCTGAGTATAAAAAAATACAAGTAATGCATTTTCACAATTAAAAGCTGGTTATATTCACACACTACTGCCACAAAGCTAGGTTTAAAGCCCTTATAAAAGTGATTTTTTTCTGTAAAAGCTTTCGTCCTAAATGTGGTCATACCTGAAATGATCATGGCTACCAAACAGATAGGATAAAACCATAAAGTAAGGATCTCTCTGTAATACACCTCCTCGTCTGATATTGACATGTGGCTTATTCTGGTTTTGTTGATTTGCATTTATTTTTCTCAGAGGCTCGGTGTTGTTGTTTTGTCTGTGGTGTTGAAATGTTTTCTGAATGTGCACAGGTTTCATTTTACCGCTTGATGGCACTACGCAAGAGAACAAGCTCAGATTCATCCAGAATTTCAAATGGACCGACACTTTACAGGGAAATATAGCCAGGTAACTCAGACAGAGTTGGTTTTATTGTTTAGCTCAGTGTTTTTTTGTTGCTGGTTTCATATTAGAACGCAAAAGGAAACAAATTGGTGAGCTGGTCTTTATTTCTGATGCATTTTAGGTGTATTTGAATGCAATGGTTGTATTGAAATGTACCTTAAGCTAGAATGCATTTTATCATTGCGTACATAAGTAGCATTAACAAAAACTATTACAATGTTTGAAGATAAATTGAATAAAAATGAATAGAATGGCAACTGTGTGTGTTTCAGTGCGCAGCAGGATGCCGTGTTTGAGCTGGTGTCTATGGCCTTTAATGTGGCCCTGTGGTACACCAAGTTTGCCTCTCGATTGGCTGGAAAGGAGAAGTAAGTTTTATGATTTATTATGATCAGATTTAGCTTTGTAAACCCTCTCTAAGTAGTTGTGTACAGCTCAGAGGTCTCATTTATATAACTTTGCATAGAAACCTTCCTAAAAGGGAATGTATGCTGTGCTAAAGATGTATTTTATTTTATTAAGGATCGTTTAAAGTGTTTCAGTTAAGTTTATATTGAAGTTTAATATGTTTACTTGGAGTTTAGTTACAGCTGTGCAAATTAGCGCAATTAGACAAAAGTCTTGTCGTCAATCCCAGTTGTAAGAGCTACAAATAATAACTCGACTTCTAGTTGATCATTTGGAAGTGGCAGAAAGTGGATTTTTGCATCACAAATACTACTGGAACCCACATGGAGCCAAGATCGTCATAGAAATAAGTCAAGTTTGGTAAAAGAAAAACATGGTTTGGGGTCTGCATTCAGTATGGGGGCGTGCGAGAGATCTGCAGAGTGGATGATCAACATCAACAGCCTGTGGTATCGAGACATTTGTGCTGCCCATTACATTACAAACCACAGGAGAGGGACAATTATCCAGCAGGATAGCGCTCCTGCTCATACTTCAGCCTCCACATCAAAGCTCCTGAAACCAGAGAAGGTCAAGCTGCTCTTGGATTGGCCAGCCCAGTCACCAGACATGAACATTATTGAGCATGTCTGGGGTAAGATGAAGGCGGAGGCATTGAAGATGAACACAAAGACTCTTGATGAACTCCAAGCTCCAAGCTCATGATGGAGTCAGACACAATATTCATTCTGTTTTCACTGCAGCAGGACTTTATATTCTATACTGGACATTATTTCTGTTCAGTGATGAGACTTTAGTCTAAGTAGATTTAGACCTTACTGTCCTAAAGAAATCATTAATAATCAAGGCATGATCATATTTTATTGTGCCCAAATCAGCGTCATCTAGAGGCTTTTGCCTTTCATATAAGACACTTCTAACACCAAATGATCAACTAGTTCAAGTTATTATTTGCTGTTCCTAAGACTTGGATAGGCAACAAGACTTTTGTCAGGTGGTGTAGATTGTAAATATAAGTTTACATTTATAAATGAGAGCCCCGATGTTTTGCAAAATAGTTCCACTTTTAGCAACCACGTTTCCTGCATTGATGTGCTAGTTTTGTGTCTCAGTGTTGATATGGTTGACTAATATAAACTCCAGTAAAAAACATGTTTGTTATTTGAAATAAAGATATGTATTATTTAAAAAACAGAAGTCATGAAAATTTGCACAATTCAAATTAAATTGGAAATAAAAATAAATAAATAAGGTTGCACTTTACAATAAGGTTTTATTAATCCTAATGTATTTACTAACATAAATTAATAACAAACAATACTAGTACAGCCTCTAATATTCAGTTTATCATTTACTAATGCATTATTCATATTAAAATTCAGGTTTGTTAACATTAGTTAATGCACTGTGAGTAAACGAACTAACAACGGATAACTTTAATTTCATTTACTAACATTAACTAATTAAACTTATATATATATATAACATTTTATATATATAACTAACTATATATATATATATATATATATATATATATATATATATATATATATATATATATATATATAAATAAATAAACTTATATATTAAATTATATATATATAACTATATATATATATATATATATATATATATATATATATATATATATATATATAAATAATGAAATTAATAAGTAAAATATAAAATGTATATATATCAAAAATAATATATATAAAAAGTTTATATATATATATATATATATATATATATATATATATAAAATTGAAAACTTATTTTAAAAATTATTATTTTTCATATTTATGCATTTGGCAGATGTATAAAGTGAAAAACCTTGCATTAAATATTATAATAGGATTTAAATAATATAGAGAAGTCTTTCATATAATTCTTCTACCGTTTTTCCCACTTAATAAAATAATTCAAATTTCAAGTCAATATTTAATATAGATGATCATTAAAAATGTAATACATGAGATTTAAAGTTAGCCGGTTAATTAAACAAATAAAACAGGCTCACAGTTTTACTGCACATTTACCCTAATGTGTAAAAATCTAGAAAAAATACACTGAGATCTAGGGTGTCTCAATCAGCTCCCTTCTTCAGTAGTTAGTGCCCTGATCTGGCCATCAATCATTTTAAGTCTCAATCGCATAATTCCTTTAGTGCACTGAAACATTTGCACCTTAAAAAGTCCCAAAATGCACTGCCCATGCACCCTTAACGAAAGTTTGGAAGCACAAAATTGGACAAACGAGAGATGTTTTTCTAAAAAGACTCCATTACTCATTTGTTTTTTAACATGAATGAACAGAGCTAGATAGGTTAGTAAAGATCTAGCAGACATTTCTAATTGTTTAATAGTTGAAATGTTGCTGGTATATGAAACAATCTAATTATTTAGCTTTAATGCGTTTAAACATAATAAAATTAATATATGAAAATGGTTTATAATCTCCAGTTTTGATAATGTACCGTGAGGATGTTCTCAGTGTGTCCCAATGTGTAGTGAACCAAGCTCATCAACCCTTACTAGTGCCAGAATTCATGCACACAACCTACTGATGAACGACCTCAGGAGCTTGAGGGCTGATTGAGACGCAGCCGTAATCATTATTGCACTAAATGCGTTTTTTTTTTATTGCAGCATCACTGAGGAGGAGGCCAAAGATGTTCACAAGAGTTTGAAAATTGCTGCTGGGATATTTAAAACCCTTAAGGTAAAAATGAAAACAAAAAGCTAGTGATTTTAGCACGCACACTGCCCCTGAAACCCTGAAACTGGGAGGTGTTATGACAAGACTTTTGAACTTTTATGACTTTTATGTTTTTTTTTACAAACAAAGTCTCTTTCGAGGAAAGTCTGTTCACTCAGCAGGCATATTTGCAAGCCCTTAGGCAGCTCAACCAAGACCAAAGCCCTATTCAAATATATGGCGGAATCCTTAAATCTCGAAAAAACAATCGCTAAACTATCATTTAAATGACATATTTCAAATCAACACCAAAATCTGACATGACCTGCCCCGTTATTGTTGATTAAGCCCTAATTATGTGTACAACATGTAATTTTCAGTTTGCTCTGGCTTCTGTGTTTGTGCATTGATTGGCACTGCAACAGTCTCCTCTACGGCTGTTTTAATGGTAACCATAATACAGGGGTGGCCAACCCTGTTCCTGGAGTGCCACCTTCCTGCAGATTTCAGTTGCTACCCATATCAAACACACCTGCCTGAAATAGTGTTATGTCTTTTTGGCCATCAGGAGACTCATATTCCTCGGCTCATCACTCCAGCAGAGAAGGGTCGAGATCTGGAGCCGCGAGTTATCGACACGTACATCGTCCAGAGTCAAGCAGAGGCTCAGGAAGGTAAAACACACTCCAGTCACTATCACATTTGATAATCCTTCTGTTAAAAAGAAATACTTTAAAGGGCACCTATGGTGAAAAATCTGCTTTTCAAGCTGTTTGGACAGACATGTGTGTATATATAGTGTATAGGCCGTCATATTGGGGTGATATAAACACACACAGTCCTTTTTTTTAATTTAATAACATATAAACGGTGGACCAATTGGAGCGGTTTTCAAACCGACCGCAACTTGACGTAGAAGTGCGGTCCCCCCGCCCACTGAATTGATTGACAGCTGCGCGCATTAACATGTCTCCGTAGTAATGCATATAATCATACCGACAAGACAGGAAGAGCGCAAAGCAACCGGGAATAAAAGGTCTGTTCAGTTCGCTAGGATCATCAATCATCATCAGACGAGATCAAGAGTAAGTTTCACATGTTCAAAATGTTTTAAAACAGTGATGTGTGTTATGAAGTACAGCGATTTACTTCAGCTTTACTTCATTAGCACAGCCGCGTGTCAGAACAGTTATAAAAGAAAACGCTTTAATACCGCTTTGTGTACGTTAAATCAGGTTTATTTTGTACATTGACATAACAGATATCCACACAGCAGCGGAGATTAGCCTGTATCCTGTCACATGTCTGTCTGTCTGTCTGTGTTTGTTTGTTTGTTTGTTTGTTTGCTTTATTTATAGAGCACATTTAAAAACAACAGATGTTGACCAAAGTGCTTTACAAAACGACCAGCATACAAAATCTATACCTATATATAAAAATTGTGCAAAATATATAAAACAGATTAAAATTAATTAATTACAATCAAAGGCAAGAGACAGAAGGTGATTTTTTTAGATGAGACTTAGGCCCCGTTTACACTAGTGCGTTTTAGTTTTAAAACGGCGTTTTAGAATGAAAACGATCCGCGTCCACACTCGCGTTTTACCCAGCGTTTCTGAACTGCTCTCCGTCCACACCAAAACGCTGAAAACGCACATCACGTGACCACACACACACTCTCGGGCAAGCGCTGCAGCTCATCTACCCAGATAAGAGCTCTGCTAGTCGGACTTCTCATCAAGCATCTCCCGCTGGATCTAATCTCACTATATTTATTAAACGGGATATTTCATTCATCTTGTTGTCTTTATCTAACGACATATTCCCTGACTTTGGTCATTAGAATCTTACTTTTTCTCAGGTAAGGTGTTTTGGCTGAGCGCAAAGATAAGTTAATGATTAATGTAAGCACGTTGCCTATTCTGTACATTGACTGATCGCTTGCCTTTATTTCCTATAATGTATAAACTTATTGTATGTTATACTTTTATAATTATCGATTATTAAAACTGATATTCAGCAGAAGAGAGGGTGTGTTTCGTATTTTCACTGAAATTGAAAGGAGGCAGTTGTTATCGGCTCCGTTTTGTTATAAATATCCACACAGTGAAGATGACGCTCATGCAGCACGATGCCTCAACATTTCTGCTGTCTGTTTAGTTGTTAATATTAAAATAAAAATAGGCAGTTCCTCATGTATACAATTTATTGTTGAGAAAGTGAAACAACGTAGCCAGGGTGATGTGAATGACGTTATGAAGTACACTGTTCCCTTTGAAGATTTACCCGTGTTCTCGGTATAGTCTGCTTTTCCATATCAAACTGAGAAGAAGAGACTGCAGCCTTGATCAAACATGCGAAGTCTGAACTTACAAGGAGAGAATGCAGGACTGAACTGTGTGTTAGGCTACTTAATATTCAGGAAAAGCCCCAATCAGAGAGGCCACGTAGCCTATTTTGTATATTGACTGATCGCTTGCCTTTATTTCCTATAATGTAAAAACTTATTGTATGTTATGTATTGTATGTTAGCCCCGCCTCCGTTTTTAGATGTCTCCGTTTTCCATCATCCACACTGAGACGGAGCAGCAGCGTTTCAGAATGAAAACGGCCTCTCCAGCGTTTTCGAAACGCTCCGTTTTCAGCGCTCGAAAACTCCGGCGTAGTGTGGACGGTTGGCGTAACCGTAGCAAAACTTATGCGTTTTCAAACTAAAACGCATTAGTGTAAACGGGGCCTTAAAAGCACCAAGTGAAGAACATGACCGGATCTGTAAAGGCAGACCATTCCACAGTCGGGGGGCTGCAGCAGAAAAAGCCCTGTCACCTCTTGATTTTTTTAACTGCGTTTTGGGGACAACTAGCTGAAACGTGTTTTCAGACCTGATTGGCCTCGATGAAGTGTGCCAGTGAAGAAGCTCAGAGATGTAAATCGGTGCCAGTCCATTCAAACTTTTAAAAACTAGTAGCAATAACTTATATTGAATACTAAATTGGACTGGGAGCCAGTGAAGAGATGATAAAACTGGTGAGAAACTAGAAATTTTTTTTGTGTGTGTCTGCTCCGGTGTGTGTGTGCACTCGTGCGTAAACTTTGTAACGATATTGCATGTCACTAATCAATGCAACTGCACAACAAATACTGATTGGTAAAGTTCTTACTGTTGAATTTCTCACAAACGCTACGTGAGACCTTCTTCCTTTAAGTCTGTCTGTTGTCTGATGCAGCTGAGGGAGGAGATTAAGGCACGCAGAAACATTAGGCGGGGAGGACTCGCCTTAAAGGCGCAGTACGACAAAACGACCCCCTGGTGTAAAGATGTATAAAACAGGATCTAGTAAAAGGCATAATGAAAAATCTGATGGGTGTTTTAAGCTGAATCTTTACATACACATTCTAGAGACGCAAAACACTTATAATAAATCTGAAAAAAGAGGTAACCTAGGTGCCCTTTAATGAAGCCGCTTTGAATAATAACACTAATTCCATCAAGTTATGTCTAAATACAAAGTTCATTCATTCATTTTCTTTTCGGCTCAGTCTCTTTATTAATACGGGGTCGCCACAGTGGAATGAACCGCCAACTTAACCAGCACGTTTTACTCAGCAGATGCCTTTCCAGCTGCAACCCATCTCTGGGAAATTTGCGTCCACACTCATTCACACACACACGCACAATTAAGCCTACCTAGTTCATCTGTACCGCATGTGTTTGGACTGTGGGGGAAACCCACGCAAACGCGGGGAGAACATGCAAACTCCACACAGAAACACCAACTGACCCAGCCAAGGCTCGAACTAGTGATCTTCTTGCTGTGAGTCGACAGCACTACCTACTGCTCCACCGCGTCGCCTAAATATAATGTTTGTGCACATTTTATGTCTTAAATATTACCCAAAAGACTCCTTTTGTACCTATTTTTGACAGTCTTTGCCTCCTGAATCATACATTCAGCTTTAATTATCAAATAATTGATATTTTCATGTTTTTTCTGTTTACTATTTCCATGAAACATCTATTTTAAGTATTATTTGTCATTTCAGATATAAAAAAACACATTTAGTGTGTGTCTCTACATTCTGGTCATCTCTGTTACATTGGTTTTTAAAGGCAGAGCATTCTGTAAAGTGCTACTAGAAAAAGCATGTGACTTGCTCCAAATGCTGTCTGGAATGTCCTTATGGCGGGAAACTCTGGAAGGCATTGAGCTGTGTGGTTATTTCTCTCTCATTAATTTGAGCAAAATACTTAGGATTCACCAATAGTAGATTCATTATGTGTCAACTCGGTTACTGTGATATTTCAGTCAATTTCTCATTCACTCTTTAAACAAAGTTTACCAGCAGTAAATAACAGACCAGCAGTAAATAACAGAGTCCAATATTTTCACATCACATTTATTTAAGCATTTTGCATTATTTTACATTAATAATTGATTCAGTTTGCTTTATATTATACTTGCGTTGTATATCAATCAATTTTAAGGAAAACTAATTTAAAATGCTTAAAACTGAGTCTGTGTGGGTGTCTTTGTTTGTGTTTGTGTGTTTGTGTACGCGGGTTTTCAGTGACCATCGCCAGAGCCATTGAGCTGAAGCACAATGCCTCCCTCATTGCAGCGCTGGCCTTCGAGACTGCCAACTTCTACCAGAAAGCCGGTGAGTTTTACTTTAATAATATATTAATTAAGAATTTAATCTATTATTAATTATAATTATTATTAATATATACATTTTATATATTCATAATAATAATAAATAATATATTCATTATATCATAGCTAATATATTATGATTAATACTGTTATTCACAAAGGACACGTGAAATTAAAAGTGACAGTATAATGACATTTGTAGTGTTCCAAAAGATTATTCAAAGTTAATTTGATTTATTTTTGTACTGTTAATTCATTAAATATTAGTTAAAGCTGAAGTACTACAATCTCTCAAACTGAAGTCAAAATAATACAAATATTTTAAAATGGAATAGAAACATACGTCAACTACACTAACCGGCCACTTTATTAGGTATACCTTACTAGTATCAGGTTGGACCCACTTTTGCCTTCAGAACTGCTTTAATCCTTCATGAGATTCAACAAGGTACTGGAGATTTTGCTGTTGCTGTAGATTTGTCAGTTGCACATCTATGATGTGAATCTCCTCTTCCACCACATCCCAAAGGTGCTCTATTGGCTTGAGTTCTGGTGACTGTGGAGGCCATTTGAGTACAGTAAACTCATTGTCTTGTTCAAGAAACCAGTCTGAGATGATTCATGCCTTGACATGGTGTGTTATACTGCTGGAAGTAGTGATTAGAAGATGGAGACACTGTGGTTATAAAGAGATGGACATGGTCAGCAACAATACTCAGGTAGGCTGTGGTGTTGACACGATGCTCAATTGGTACTAATGGACCCAAAATGTGCCAAGAAAATCTCCCCCACACCATTACACCACCACCACCAGCCTGAACCGCTGATACAAGGCAGGATGGGTGCTTTCATGGTGTTGGTGCCTAATTCTGACCCGACCATCTGAATGCTGCAGCAGAAATGGAGACTCATCAGAGCAGGCAACGTTTCTCCAATCTTCTATTGTCCAGTTTTGGTGAGTCTGTGTGAATTGTAGCCTCAGTTTCCTGTTCTTAGCTGACAGGAGCGGCACCCGGTGTGGTCTTCTGCTACTGTAGCCCATCCGCCTCAAGGTTAGACGTGTTGTGCATTCAGAGATGCTCCTTTGCAGATCTCGATTGTAATGAGTGCTTATTTGAGTCACTGTTGCCTTTCTATCCGAAAGTCATTAGAAATTTGCATTAACGTGCAGTTGGACAGGTGTACCTAATAAAGTGGCCGGTAATAAAGTCTAAAACATAATTAAACTTTTTTTTTTATCCAAAGTGACTTGTGTTAAATTATATAATAGGATTTAAATAATACTAATATGTCTCTTATATATTTTTCTCCATGTAACACTAAAGTAAATCTTATTTATCATTTATTATTTGGCAATTGGCAAGTTTGTAAATGAAATTTACGGTTTTCTTCATGAATAAATTACATTTTTCAATATATTCAAATAGTAGACAGTTCTTTTAAACTAAAAATACTTACGCTAAAAAATATTTAACAATTTTACTCATATTGATGAAGCATCGAAATATTTTGGATTTCCTGTTTTTGCTCAGATCACACTCTGAACACTTTGGATCCAGAATGCAGCAGTAAATGGAAGAAATACCTGCAGCTGAAGCAGCACTTCTACATGGCTTACGTGAGTCCATCTGAACGCAAACACATCTTATAAGGCTGCACGATATTGGAAAAGTCTAACATTGCCATATGTTATTCATCTGCAATATTTATTGCGATATGAGCACAATTTCACCAGATGACTTGAACATCTTTGGGAAAAATGTATCATTTTAGATTGATTTGGATGATTCTGTAGGGGCGTAAATCATGCATGAGTAATAATAACTGTAGGGTCCAGCCAGTTGGTCCAATGACGGTATCCAATGGTGGATGAAGGTTCACTGCATGTTCGGTCTTTCCAGTGCACAATGTTGATTTATATTAAACTTAACTCATATCTGACTCCAATTTTAGTATGAGATGGTTTAGAATATTAATATGTTTATCCTCGTTTTATCTGACTCCAATTATAAAACATTGAGAAGGTTATTTTGTTTCCGTTCACATTAATTTAGATTATGATTGAATATTCTTTTATTTGTTATTATACCTTATTTTCATTTACTCAGATTCCGATAGCATCTCGAGTCTTGCACCGGCCGGGTATACAATCTCTTAATACAAGCTTGTCAGTCTTGGTCATTAAACAGAGGCGATTAACCACTCTCCTAAAAAGGCAGAACACTACTTACTCAATTTAGGAGATTTTTATGTGGTCCCCATGGATCTGTTATCTACTTAATCAAGACAAAGTATTTTAATAATAATCGCGCAGGATTATACTATTGTAGATGAAGGCCTAAATATCCACATTTAAAGTAGTTTCAACAATATTTTGTTGTTCTAAATAGTTGGCCTTTTACAGTCCAAGTATACATGAAATAATGCCAATTTGTTAGTCGGATCTCTAACAACATTGAATAGCGTGCCACGCTGCTCCGTCTAACATGTTTTAGTCCGTTACTAACCTGTACAGTGGCTTGTAGTGCTATGGACAACAACATTTATCAGTGATAATAACACGAACTCTGTTTGAATCATTCAAAACATAACAATTTATTAGTCAGGTAAATGTATTATGCCAATTCAATCAGTCAATTCATAAACGATCAATACAAAACATCAAATTATCAAAGATAACTCCAAGATGAAAAAGATGCATTCCTGACTTTGAAATATACATAACATGGGGCAGACCCCATGTTATGGGCTGATCTGGTTAGGCAGAATCGCGCTGAGTCCTTCTTAGGCCTTACCTTAAATAATCCAAGAATTCCCTCAAGGAAGGGGGTGTGAACAAAAGGCATTCACACTTAGTGGCACACCCCTCTCAGTGGTTCAAAAGATGCCTGAAGTTATATATTTATTGTTCTGATTATGTCTAATTCTGAGAGAATGAGACCATTGTACCAATCGCACTGAGACATTTCAAATGATATCAAACATGATAGTTAAAGTCAGTTTGGTTAATTCTAGAACATTCAAACATTGAAATGACCATATGTGTGAGTTGGGGGGATGAAGCAGACTCAGATGCAAATGCAGCAGGAACTGGTTTTTCCCGCATTCCCCTTGCTGAGTTGTGAAGTTATCAGTCTCTGTTTTCAGCTCATGTTTTGAATTGTCAAAGATATCAGAATATTTGCAATATTTCAATTCTTACATAACCCATCTATAAGCATAGATAAAACCAATTAAAAAAAAAGATACATGCAGTGTTTTATGTTTCCTGAGTCTAACAGTATTCAGATACAGCATATTAATAATAATAGTTCAATAAAATAAATAGTTTTTTTAAGTTAGGTACAATTTCCTATGCCTGAATGCTTTCACGTGAGTTTTAAATACTTCACCCTCCTGCGTGAGTTTTTTTATTGTGACCGTTATGTAGAATTCGTTTTGCGTTCGAAAGTTCCCATTGCGAGGCGTCATTTATCACGTGACCCACCAGCCCCAATGGTCTATGTGTAAATCGTATTTTCTTTTTGCCCTTTTCTGTAAATATAGACGAATGTTCTAATTATAATGTGAAATTTCTGATACTCCAGTTTCTGAAATATGCAAAAGAACATATATTTTGTTTTTTTAACTGCTTAATAATGATCCTATTTTTTGCTATATGATGGGCATAGATATATACATTAGATGTCGCCTACCCTGTTGTTGTCTATTGGAAGGAATGCGTCAGTTGAGCCGCCATCTTGGTACAGGGTAGCGCTCCATTGAAATGAATGCGGGGGGGACCAAGGTACAGTGGAGGACTGTGGCCATCCAAAGCCAGAGATATACACATATACACATATCTATGATCGGGAGTTTTCCTGGATGTTAGTATTTAAATAATTTTTTTTTATTACGAAAATTATAATTTTACATCACTTTTCTACATTGATGGATCAGTGACCGCACTGCCATTCCTGACAAAAAGCTTGTGTTTGTGTGTACAGAAATGTACTATCCACCCTCCTTGTTAAACTTGATCTAATCATGTCCTGAAACACAGCTGCTCTCCTGCTTTCACTTCTCATACTGACGTTGTCATATTTCTTTTGCATTGTTTGCTGATTTTATTCAACAAAACTAGCATAAGCCGAGTATTTAGTGCGAATTGGAGCTGCTTTGCCTTATGGTGAATGCAGTAAGTGACTTTATTATCATCAATAACGTTACCTGATTAGCACAAAAGTTCAGAACATACAAAAACGTAAAAACTTAATATTACCTATGAAATGTTCTGCCTTTGTGCTTTGTTTTCTTTGTTTGCTCATTTCTACACTCGTAGACAGCGCTAAAGTCCCGCATCTTCACCTAATAACACTGTCTTGACTAGTGTGGTTGAATGACACTTGTCCTAGGAGCACTGTACCAATGTGGCGGCGCTATTGACGCCTGCTCAGGGTCCCTATGTGATATCTAGTGTATATATCTATGTATGACGGGTAACGTGCGCCACCTTGTTTAGTCTGCGCTGCAGGAGAGGATGCAGTCTAGATAGGATACAGCTGAGGATACTCATGTCAATGTAGCCGAATTTTTGTGACACTGTACTATAATAAATAATATTTCTAAATTACCGTGAGGGTTGGGTTTAGGTAGGAGTAGACGGTAATAAAATACAATTAATACATAATTTAACAAATAGTATACATTATTATTATTATTATTATTATTTCCTTCATTTAGCCAGGAGATCACATTGAGACAGTACTGTCTCTTCTTTTAGTGAGACCAAGGCTGATCACACCGGTGTGATCGTTTGGTAAAAGGCTTTAAATCCATCATAGGCCTCAAAAACGCATGCAATCCAGAAAAATATAATTGCTTCTCGATAACTTCCGATCGCAGCTGTTTTCCTTCTAGCAGGAACCACAGTACAGATCCAAGCTGCTGTATTTATGTCATGTTTATTCATAAATTTCTTTCGAAATTCATGATGGTAAAAAACTGTTTATCTGGCAAGGGAATATAGAAAATATTTTAGTAAGATAAACAGTGTGTATCGTACGTGAATAAAGCACATCGTCCAGTTATATTGAGAAATAATTATTATTGCCATCTCCATAGACATTGGTGTGTATTTGACAAACCTTAGATCAGGGGTGTCTAAAGTCGGTCCTGGAGGGCCGGTGTCCTGCTGACTTTAGCTACAACTTGCTTTAACACACATGCCTGGAAGTTTCTAGTATACCTAATCAGAGCTTGATTAGCTGGTTCAGGTGTGTTTGATTAGGGTTGGAGCTAAACTCTCCAGGACACCGGCCCTTCAGGACAGAGTGTGGACACCCCTGCCTTAAATGGTATGTTTTACTTGTATTTATGTGTATTTGAACGTCTAAAACCTAAAATAGCTGTTGTCTGTTTGAAAGCATGGATAAATTGTGATCTGTTTCTGTGCCTCAGCACATGCCATCAGATGACGTTGATGATGTTCTAATCACACTGGTGTGATAATGCTCTTTAGGGACCAGCCAAGGCTGATCACACCGGTGTGATTATATGCATGAAGGACTTTTAATCCTAATAACTGCACATGCCTCAAAAACATGCAAATGAAAAGTTCTAATCCAGACTCAACATTGCATGTCCTGCGATGTGACTATTGGCGAATGGTTATATTGCGATATTATTGCTGAAATTATATATTGGCAGACCTAACATCTTCTGTTTCATGCTATAATTGATATTTAGTATTGTTTGTTTGTTACAGGCTCACTGCTATCATGGACAGACTCTTCTAGCGGGCGATAAATGTGGAGAGGCCATAAGATCCCTGCAGGAAGCTGAGAAATGTAAGCAAATAATAAATCCTTTCAGTACTATAATACATATTTCATAACGCTAAGGTATTTAGCATTAACATTAAAGGAATAGTTCACCTAAAAATAAAAGCTGCGATCACACTTTACTATAGGTTTCTTTAGTTATTGTATTCACTAACATGAAGTAAGTATGAACAATACTTGGACAGCTTTTATTAATCCTGCTCTCTCTGTGTGCTCAGGTTACTCTCGCGCTGAAGTCTTGTGTAAAGAGTACCGTCAGATGAAGGGTCCCGGCAGCACCGCCAAACCCTCCGAACAGCTCTTCTTCAAGAAACTGGGCGCCGTCATCAAGAACACCTTGGAGAAATGCCAGAGAGAGAACGGCTTCATGTGAGTCAGATGAACAGCACATTTAAAGGTGCTGCGTGTAACTCTTTGAAAGCATAAAAACACCATAATAGGCTTGTAGACATTTAAGAAACGTGCTAATTGAACATGTTCGTTTATTTGAGAAACAATGCTGAAGTTGGTTATTCTGCTTTGAGAGCGTTTCGTGTCAAAACGTCTGTCTTTGTGTTGGCCCAAAGTCAGTTTAGCCAAAATATATTTCAGCAACCAGGTTGCCTTTGTGGAAAATACACTGTACTTAATGTCAGTCTTCAGTATGTGGTTAGAGCTGGAAATGGGACCTCCAGAGGTCAGTAGCAGCATCCAAAATGTGACGCAGTTTCAGAGTTAATACAAAAAATAATACAAATATTACAAATGTAATAATTAGCTGAGCATCATGCAGTGTAAGACTTGATCATCTATCTGTCTGTCTGTCTGTCTGTCTGTCTGTCCGTCCGTCCGTCCGTCAGTCTGTCTTGTCTGTCTTGTCTGTCTGTCTCTCTATCTATCTATCTATCTATCTATCTATCTATCTATCTATCTGTCTGTCTGTCTGTCTGTCTGTCTGTCTGTCTGTCTTTCTGTCTTTCTTTCTGTCTTTCTGTCTGTCTGTCCATCCGTCACTCTTGTCTGTCTATCTATCTGTCTGCCTATCTATCTATCTGTCTATCTATCTGTCTGTCCGTCCGTCCATTCGTCTATCTGTCAGTCAGTCAGTCTTGTCTGTCTTGTCTGTCAGTCAGTCAGTCTTGTCTGTCTTATCTGTCTGTCTTGTCTTGTCTTGTCTTGTCTGTCTCTCTTTCTATCTATCTGTCTGTCCGTCCGTCCGTCCATCTGTCTGTCTTTATCTATCTATCTGTCTTTTCTGTCTGTCTGTCTGTCTATCTATCTATCTATCTATCTATCTATCTATTACCTATGAAATGTTCTGCCTTTGTGCTTTGTTTTCTTTGTTTGCTCATTTCTACACTCGTAGACAGCGCTAAAGTCCCGCATCTTCACCTAATAACACTGTCTTGACTAGTGTGGTTGAATGACACTTGTCCTGGGAGCACTGTACCAATGTGGCGGCGCTATTGACGCCTGCTCAGGGTCCCTATGTGATATCTAGTGTATATATCTATGTATGACGGGTAACGTGCGCCACCTTGTTTAGTCTGCGCTGCAGGAGAGGATGCAGTCTAGATAGGATACAGCTGAGGATACTCATGTCAATGTAGCCGAATTTTTGTGACACTGTACTATAATAAATAATATTTCTAAATTACCGTGAGGGTTGGGTTTAGGTAGGAGTAGACGGTAATAAAATACAATTAATACATAATTTAACAAATAGTATACATTATTATTATTATTATTATTATTTCCTTCATTTAGCCAGGAGATCACATTGAGACAGTACTGTCTCTTCTTTTAGTGAGACCAAGGCTGATCACACCGGTGTGATCGTTTGGTAAAAGGCTTTAAATCCATCATAGGCCTCAAAAACACATGCAATCCAGAAAAATATAATTGCTTCTCGATAACTTCCGATCGCAGCTGTTTTCCTTCTAGCAGGAACCACAGTACAGATTCAAGCTGCTGTATTTATGTCATGTTTATTCATAATTTTCTTCCGAAATTCATGATGGTAAAAAACTGTTTATCTAGCAAGGGAATATAGAATATCTATCTATCTATCTGTCTATCTATCTATCTATCTATCTATCTATCTATCTATCTATCTATCTATCTATCTATCTATCTATCTATCTATCTATCTATCTATCTATCATCTATCTACCTACCTACCTACCTACCTCCCTGTCTGTCTGTCTGTCTCTCTGTCTGTCTGTCTCTCTGTCTGTCTGTCTGTCTGTCTATCTATCTATCTATCTATCTATCTATCTATCTATCTATCTATCTATCTATCTATCTATCTATCTATCTATCTATCTATCTATCTATCTATCTATCTACCTACCTACCTACCTCCCTGTCTGTCTGTCTGTATGTCTGTCTGTCTGTCTCTCTGTCTGTCTGTCTGTCTATCTATCTATCTATCTGTCTATTTATCTATCTATCTATCTATCTATCTATCTATCTATCTATCTATCTATCTATCTATCTATCTATCTGTCTATTTATCTATCTATCTATCTATCTATCTATCTATCTATCTATCTATCTATCTATCTATCTATCTATCTATCTATCTATCTATCTACCTACCTACCTACCTCCCTGTCTGTCTGTCTGTCTGTCTCTCTGTCTGTCTGTCTGTCTGTCTGTCTGTCTGTCTGTCTATCTATCTATCTATCTATCTATCTATCTGTCTGTCTGTCTGTCTGTCTGTCTATCTATCTATCTATCTATCTATCTATCTATCTATCTACCTACCTCCCTGTCTGTCTGTCTGTCTGTCTCTCTGTCTGTCTGTCTCTCTGTCTGTCTGTCTATCTATCTATCTATCTATCAATCTATCTATCTATCTATCTATCTATCTATCTATCTACCTACCTACCTACCTACCTACCTACCTACACCTACCTACCTACCTACCTACCTCCCTCTCTGTCTGTCTGTCTCTCTATCTATCTATCTATCTATCTATCTATCTATCTATCTATCTATCTATCTATCTATCTATCTATCTATCTATCTATCTATCTATCTATCTATCTATCTATCTATCTATCTATCTATCTATCTATCTATCTGTCTATCTACCTCCCTCCCTGTTTGTCTGTCTCTCTGTCTGTCTGTCTGTCTGTCTCTCTGTCTGTCTGTCTATGCATCCATCCATATCTATCCATCTATAACAAGACATTTAATACTCTACTCAGTGTTCATATGGCTGATTGTGTTCATCAGATACTTCCACAAGGTTCCGGCTGAAGCTCCGGCTCTGGAGTTGAAGGCCAGTTATGGTTTGGCTGAACCCACTGCGTTCGAGCTCCCGCCGCTCAGCGCTCAGTGCACCCCTGAAGTCTACGCCACCTTTGACCTGACCAGAGGACACAAAGACGACAAGGTCAGCAGATCTGAACTGATTTGATGATCTGAATTGGCTGTAGTGTATGATTGTGTGTGTGTATGTGTGGGGGGGTGTTTCCCAGTACTGGGTTGCAGCTGGAAGGGTATCCGCTCTATAAAATATATGCTGCAGAAGTTCAATCAGCTATGGAATACAGCATTTCATTTTGCTGTGGTAACCCTTGATAAATAAAGAGACTAAGCCGAAAGAAATCGAATGAATGAATGGATATTGAGATTTTGTATCTAAGTGTGGACCTGTACAGTTTGTTTTTGTATTCTCTATTTTTTTTCCTTTTTCAGTTCCATCTTTGTTCTTAATGGCTATTGTTTATGTTTGTAAAATATGAAAAATGTTAAATAAATCATATAAATAAATATATACATTTTCTTTTCTCTTGCAGGCGAAAGCGAAGCCTGAAGAGGAGATCAAGCCGGTGAAAGAACCAGATCTAAAGCCGCAGAAGGACACAGGCTGCGTTGTCTGTTAAAACAAACACACACACACACACACACACACTGATCATATATACCTATATAACATAGTAAAATAACAGTGGCGTCCATCTTGTGCTGGGATTCTGTTTAAGGTTTTTCCTCCACAAACAAATGACGAATTGATGAAGAATTAACTCTAATCAGCCAGACTCGATCTGATTTGCACTGATGATCTCTCTGTAGCAAAACAGCCCATTTTAGCCACACTGTTAGGGTAAGTTGTTTAAAGCATTACATCTATAGGTCAATCCTCTGTTTTTTATTTCTTCTCTGTGTGTGTGTGTGGATGTAAATATTGATAGTTTGACTCTTTATAGTGATGCTGGTTAATTATCAGTTGTTTACACAAATAATACAATTATATAAATCCAGTAAATCTAAGAAGCGACTGTCAGATTTCACACAATATCTAAAGAAGAATATGAAGAAATTCGGATTTTGATAATGAAAATAAAACAATTTGAGCATTAAGATTTATTGCTTTATGACATTGTTTTCATGACATGATCAAATTTAACTCAAATTTAAGATTCTAACGACTGTAATAGACCATTTTGAGGGATGTAAACAATAACAATGGTCCTAATGTATTTCCATAGCTCTCAAGAATACTAAAAGGTCCACATATTGATAAATAATGCTATAAAAGCCTTTTTAACATTGAGGTATGATTGAATTGCCTCGTGTAACAGTTATTAAAATAGTTTGACAACAAGCATGTTTATGGTCCAATGGCATCACCACATTGAAATGTTCTATAGTGAAAACTAACTAATTAATTAATTAATTAATGTACAGCTAGAGAACTATTGGTGATGTGACTAATAAACATTTACACTACATTTACACCACAATGTACATTTATTTGTTATTTGGTCTGAATTGTTAGTAATTGTAATTGTATTACTAATTTATTTCTAGATTATATGTACATTTTGTAATGTAATTTGCATACAATAACAAATATTAAGGAAGCAGATTTGTGTTAATCGTTATTTCTTAAATGTTAAACGATAAATCTATTTCTGAGGAAAAATTCAGTTCTAGAATTTAGGAGATCAGATGCAAAAACCTCTAAATACCATCTGAAATGTTCTCCTAAAGTGGACATTTTTCTCTAGCTCCTGTGTGTATGTTCAGTAAAATTTTTGTAAAGATTTATTTTTGGCCTTTTGGCCTTCATTAGATAGGACAGGAAGCAAAGTGGGAGGGGGGGGGGGGTAGATGGGGGGTAGGATTGGGAAATGTCCTCGAGCTGGGATTTGAATTCGGGACGCCCTGATGTGCTACTGCACCATATGTCGGCGCGCTAACGACTAGGCTATTGCTCTAATGGTAAATCCAGTTTTATGGCAAATAATAGGATCCTGATCCTGAGAGAAATGCTCATTTTAGAACAGCATTTCAGACGGCTATTAAAGGTTTTTGCATCTGAACTCTTCATATATATGCGTCCATCCTTTCATCCATCTGTTTATCTGTTAATCCATCCACCCATCTATCATTCTATTTATCATTCCATCTATCTTTCTGTCTGTCTTTCTGTCCATCCATCCATTCATCCATTTATCCATCTATTGGTTTATCCACCCAATCATGCATCCTTCCATCTATCCATCGTTATTTCTATTGTTCTATCTATCGTTTTATCTATCTATCCATCCGTTCATCCATCCATCATTCTGTTCTGTCTATCCATCCATCCATTTATCCATCTATTTGTTTTTCCATTCATCCATGAATCTATCAATCTATTATTCTATCTATTTTTATGTCCACAAATATCACAAAAATAATAATAACTATACAATTTATTAAAAACGAATTATTATATAAACATACAGCCATGAATAAAATGTCATAATGCAATAATTATCTTTCTAAAATTAGATAATATTTATTGACAGTTGTCTAAAGAGCTCACAATCAACTTACAACAGCAGATTTGATTATTATAATCCCATAATCATTAGTACTGCTAACTTAATTCACTTAAAATACCTGCTGTATGATTAACATGTTAATGGCAGGAGAGAACAAGCACATTTATCAGGCTTATACTATTACAAATCAATTAATAAATCAATAAAAGTACCCAGTTATACTGACACACCAGTTACACATCCCAGATCGAGGACTAGTCAAGCAGATTATATGGATAAACCGGTGATGTGAAGTGCCATCAGCTTTCTTCAGGTCTCTAATTTCAGCTTTCAGTGGATTTTTCACATATTTCTGACAGTCATTTCTCTTATATTTTGATTAGGAACCTGTCCAGATGATCCAGATCTGGATTGTTGTGCTGTACATTTGTTTGGTGCTGGTTTGATTTGATGGGTAGCTTATTTTCTCTCAATCTTTAAGTTATAAATATGACACTGTTGCTTCAATCTGTTGAAAAACATGAACAAAACACACACTTTCACATTCAGTACGTCACGAAGACTGTGAAAAATACTGCAGAGGTTGTACGTTTGGTCTGTAATCAGCAAATTAAGAGGTACTGCTAAGAGTAAACGATTTTCTGTATATTTATTGAACACTATTCTGCATTGTAAGAAAACACTCCAGGATTGCATTTAATTTCTGTAAAGATTTCCTTTTTCATCTCTGCATCATCGACATGTACTCATCATCATATACTCGCATACTATGATGTCAGCTTGTAACTCACTGTCATGCATTTAATGGTTTTCCCCATTAAAGTGTGTGTTAACCGTGTGTTTTGTGCTCTGGACATGCGTAATTCTCCTAATACTTTTTAAAATATATTGTATTTATTCAGCTTCATCACATAGTGGCAAGCTTAGTGCAGCTTTACACATCTCAAAGCATACAAAACAAGGAAAATATTAGAGATAATATGAACACAGACAAAAAATAAGGAAACAGTCATGTAGAAATATTAATAAAAAAACATTTTATGACCTATTGTGACTTATTATGCCACTTTATAAAAGATGTAAAATAAGTCTCTGATATGTCCAGAGTGTGTAGTGAAGTTTCAGCTCTTAATACCACACAGATAATGTTTACTAACTCTCTGAATCTGACCCTTTCAGGCCTTGATCATAATTGTGGTGTTGTGGTGACTGTCTCTTTAAATTCAAATGAGATTGTGCTCTTTTCAGAAGAGGGCGGAGCTACAAATGCCTGTGTGTCAGCATAGTGGCAGATTCAAAAACCAAAAAAACACTTATGTTGGACGGCTGGTTCTCACTCAGGGCTGTTTATGCAAATGAGGAGTAGGGGGGAGTGGGCGGGGCTTTCCCCCTCTGATGACACGTACAAAAGCAGAATGTCAATCATAGTGTTTCCGCAGACAAAAAAAATCTTTCTATGGTGACATCTGATTGGGTAAAATAGGCTTAGCCACACCCCTCCAACTAGTTTTTTTTCCGTGGGTGAAAGATTACTTGAGAAGTGCAAAAATAAACCCCGCCCCCTACTCAATATTCAGTCATCGGCATAAGGATGAGCTCTTTAAATTGAACACAGTGAGTGACACCAAACAGCTTCCTTGCATTAAGGATCATGGCCTAAAGTGTTCATCAGCTGTATCCTGCAAAATCATTCATTCCCTTCAAAGTGGCCATTATTGAGCGCTTCAGTTTGGAACAACACTGACTTTAATATGACGGCCTGAGCTGCATTCCACTCCAACTGTTTATGACATGTTTAAACGCAACATCCTAAACCCTTGAGCACTTGAACACTACACTGTTGTGACATCACAATCGCATTGCATTCTGCGACATATAGGTGTTGGAGTGGACATATGAAGCCGAATCGCTCCCTTAACAGTGGCAGAGCTGCGATTTTTGTGGGTGGCCAATGCTATTTCAGTGGGTCCACACACACACACACACACACACACACACTGTACTCAAATACAAAGATGCACACAAACACAATGAAAGTCTATTTTATTACCAACATTTAATTCAACATATAATAGTATGAAAATATACTGATTTACTGATCATCTACTCGCTTTACTGCATCGTAAATTAAATATAATCACTTATATACAGTTGAAGTCAGAACTATTCGCTCCCCTTTGAATTATATATATTATTTAATATTTCACTAGTGATGTTGAACAGATTCAGGATAATTTCACAGTATGTCTGATAATATTGTTTCTTCTGGAGAAAGTCATATTTGTTTTATTTTGGCTAGAATAAAAGTAGTTTTTAATTTTTTAAACACCATTTTAAGGTCAATATTATTAGCCCCTTTAAGCTATTTTTTGTAGATAGTCTACAGTACAAACCATCGTTATACAATAACTTGCCTAATTACCCTGACCTGCCTAGTTACCCTAATTAACCCAGTTAAGCCTTTAAATGTCACTTTAAGCTGTACAGAAGTGTCTTGAAGAATATCTAGTCTAATATTATTTACTGTCATCATGGCAAAGATAAAATCAGTTATTAGAGATGAGTTAATAAAACTATTATGATTGGAAATGTGTTGAAGATCTGCTCTCCCTTATACAGAAATTGGGGAAAAAAATAAACGGGCTAATAATTCTCGTTAACTTACACAGCGGATAATCAGTTTCAGATTCTTTTATTTTTGTCATTAAAACATCACAATAAAATTGTCATGCAGAACGAAATTACGTTGCAACAGACCGAACAAGAATATAAAAAACCACTATACAAACACTATAAAACCCTAACATGATAAACAAGCTTTCATAATTTCATGAAAAAATTAAAATATAATCATATAAGATATAAGAAAAATCTCTGAAGAGAATAACTTAATACTTAAATACCTATTTCACCTAACTATAAAAAATGTTCCTCAACAAACAAACCTTAAAAATGTATTTCAAATATTATGTTATGATGTATTATTATTTGTCTTGATGAAACCATGCTCAGGCATGTGATCAGCCGAGGACAAAAAGGAAGGAAGACAAGACCCCCTAAAAAAAAATAAATAAATAATGAATAAATAAATATATATATATATATATATATATATATATATATATATATATATATATATATATATATATATATATATATTATATTTATTAATGTCTGCGTGTGTTTTATTTAATAAATAATAGAAACAATACTTCTAAATAAAAATAATAAATAATTTTCTTTGTATAAATATTGGATTTTGGCCGCACAATTTAAGTTTGATTTTTGGCTTCATCAGTTTCAATGTTTAGCAGTTTAATAGTGACCTGGG